CGTACGAACGTAAATATATTTTCTCTCTTTCTATCCGTGTTCTCGCTACCTACCCAGTCGCTTTCTTGATCTCGCCGGCCGAATGAGAAAGCTATTTGCAGAAGATATGGGTCGGCCACCCCGGAATGGAAAGGCTGCTCTCCGGGCTTGACTCTTTTTCTCGGCGCTACCCCGTCGAAGCAAAGGCGTGCACCTTTATGAAACGGTTTACGTCGTGCAAACGATGAGCAGCCTTGGCTCTATTACGCCATTCAACTCTGCGGACATCCTAGCGCCGCTCGGGTTCGCTTTATACAGCTAATCATTCAGTTTTGTCCAACAAACTGGGCAGCCCTCGCAGAAACGGAAAAATGCAACATGCCAACTGGCTACTTCAGAGATATACCTAACCGTGTACGATATACGTGTAAAGTTAGAACCTCATTTTTAATAAAATGACCACCTGAACAACAACGTTTAATATAGATTTGTGTACAAACGATAAGAATTCTTGTTTTAATATTTACCTTGTGGTGCTGCTTTGCTGTGGGTAGGAACTCGGAGAAAATTCATCGGAGGACAGAAAAAGGAAAGAAGGAGGCGTTATTTTGTCCGGGCCTGTAAGTGGGACTTAACAGCAAGGCTTTCCAGCAGGCCCTGCCTTAGACGACTGGGAAAAATTGTAATGGGAGATTTTGGAGACCAAAATAAGACGAAAATCAAGAATATCAATTTCTTGACTGAGGCTTCGTTAAAAAGTTATTAAAAAATTTCGAATCATTCTGAAAAAATTATGTTTGGGTGCGTGGCTTAATTACAATCGTTTTTGGTGAATACACATACCCCCGAAATCCTACCCACTTTCGAGAAAAAAATTCAGGTAGGTGCTGAAATTTTTTGGCGAAAAAAAATTTGTCAAATCATTCGAAAAAAATTATTTTCGGTTGCAGGGCTCGATTACAATAATTTTTGGCCATTACACATACCCCCGAAATCCTACGCATTTTCAAGAAAAAAATTCGAGAAGATGCCTAAATTTTTCGACGAAGAAGAAAAATTTCAAATCGTTCTGGAAAAATTGTGTTCGGTTGCGGGAGTCAATTACAATCATTTTTGGTGAATAGACATACCCCCGAAATCTTGCACATTTTCGGGAAAAAAATTCAGTACAGGTAGAACTTTAAACGTTAATAACTTGTTAACCAAGCCTCCATCAACAAATTGGTATTCATGATTTTCGTCCTATTTTGACCTCAAGAATCTCCCATTAAAATTTTTCTCAGGGGTGGCCGAACACCCTGTATAGCAACCGAGGGGTTGGTCGAGCGCTTGTGAGAGCGCAACCCCTCTGGTGGCGAGCATGGGAGGCGACGCCACAACCTTATCGTGCAAGCAGTAGTTATTGTTTAATTTTTCAGACACCTTCGTTGAACAAAAATCCAGTAATAAAAAACAAATTGTATTTTTTTTCTACTCTAAATACTGTAATGTTAAAATATACTTCAAAGGATCACATTTTTTTGACAATATTACTAAATGACTCGTTCCTAAATTCTGGAATAAATTTTTTCAGATTATAACATGATATAGTTTCCCGGTAGTCAGTTAAATATTTCACAACAGAAAGGGAAACAAAGAATTCGTTGAGATAGAGTTCTTTCGCCCTTTCGGTGTCCATTATCTTGGAAACGTGCACCAGTCTCAGGTTTCTTTGTTTACGCTGAATACCGGCTAAAAAAATACCGTAAGACCGAAAAGCGGAGAATATTCGACCATTTCTTTTTCGCAAATGTTACATACACCAAAGTTGCTCTTGTCATTGTTAAATGAATAGAACAGTGTACAAAGAGCTTACGATTTCAAGGGGATGATACCCGATGTGGATCGGGTAGATAGGCGGAATAACGAGCAAGGAAGAATCACGAGGCTACTTGACGCTAATTGCGCAGGACGCTTATCGTTGCATTTACTCATGGATCAGACTATTGAGTATATGTATATGCATCACAAACACCAACTTCTCGAGTGGCTTGACTAATGATCGTGGAAAAAAGAAAGGGAATAACGACCTCCGATGGTCTCTTGCATTTATATACCAGTAATGTGTATATCTACAACAAATACTAAGAACATTCGTCTTACATACAAATTTTGAGGCGGTATTACATTCAAACTTAAGATTACTGTTTGGTAACTCGATATAGAATCCACGCGTACTTTTTTTTTATACGTTAGTTGCAACGCCACAACCTCATTAATTCGCATAAAGAGTGCCTCGAACTTCCGAGACAAGAGATACCGTAAGAGTTATCGAGGTGCGTGGGCGATGAAGAGATCAATGTACGAAACTGTTATATTTTCAGCTTTGATCGTTAAAAAAATTAAATTACAGTCTACGATCGAGATTATTTAGCGATCTATATTAAAACAAAAATAACAGAACGATGTTTTGGAAATATGATTTTGTTCTATCTCTGTACATACGGAAAAAAACAACAAAATTTAAAACTTCTAGTAGGATTGCATCGTTTTCTAGTTTCGAGGTTGTAAAATAGAAGAAAAATTAGAATATCCGATGAAAATTTAATCAGAATCAGGTTAGAATAGCGGGATCAAAAACGTCGAAAAGTGAATGTTACGTGGAAATATCAGGGATGATTTTTAGTTAGAGAAAGTCGACTCTGCCTGGTGTGTTGGCGCAAATAAAATCGGACCCTAAATAGCACGTCTGGCGAGGGGTTAAAACACCCGTTGGAAATAAAAAAGGCGCTGCACGCGCGGTCGTTCTGCATAACGACACGCGTGCCCCCTCTGTGTACATGTACAACACTATGACAGACGTGTGTACAAATTTCAAATGATACACCCGCTTCAATTGATCATACCGTCCGACCGTAAAATTCCCGCAGCCAGCAAAGATTACGAACGATCTTGAAACGTCAGCGTTCTGGGAATATTGAAACACGGGCAGCCATTGAAACGGATACTATGAACGGGTTTTAAAATTCGTCGAAAAGTTTCAAGAACTTACAAATTATCTGAATGACCCCTGCCGTCGGAGGGCCATTATTCGGTTTAAAAACCGAGTCTAATTATTTAATTGAATTTAATTGGGGTTCGTGCATTTCTGCAGATTGAACGATAAAGAGTCGGTGACATCAACTTGGAACAGAAACAAGAGATAAAAAAATTTCAAGCATCATTGTTCGCAATTACACCAATGCACTATCGTGCATTGTAAAAAGTTTTCAACCGGAACGATCGAGACGTTTCCAGAGGAGTGTCAAACTACATTGTTTTTTTAAATTTTTTGATTTAAATTCTCGCAACAGCCGTAATTATAATTATTCTGCAATTACAATTAAAGTAATCGATTATGCCGCAAATCTATTATAAACATACATAAATGCAATTTTTTATGAATATACTTTACAAATACTGCATCTTTGTTACGTCTTATTAGTATATGATAGTTCACCGTATAGCGTGTAATTGTTTGAAATTGGTTATAGCCAAAAAGATATAAACACATTGGTTAGACTCTATCAAAATAGAACTCATCATAAAATATGTTAAAAAGAAAATTTATGAAAGAATGATAAAATTAAAGAACTTATTTATAGTTCTCATCATACTATCCAGACATCCGCAGCCAGATACTTGATCGGTAGACAAAGTATTCGAATATATAATTATTCGCCTTATGTTTGTCGAATATTTAAACTGCTAAAGCATTTGAATGCAGAAACAAATTCGACAAGAAGTCTTGGACTTATTACAAACTTACGAAAACATAGAGTTACGCGTTTTACCTTTCTTTCGTAGTCTACGTTCGGCACAGCCAGCCAGGGCAACTCGGAAACGTGTGCACGAAAACTTTCTTCGAAGTCGAGTACATCGGCTACGTTACTCCAGAGAACCACGTGCACAACCTCGAATTTTTTTCTCCTTTCTCTGTCAGGATTTTCCGCGTCCCGGTCGTTCTCCGTGTGCACCGAGTTGACGTTCGTATATAGTTCGAGCAGCTGACGCGTGAAGTCATCGCAGGTAGCACCGGGATTAATGAAACTAAAATACACACCGATCACCTCGCAAGTCGGCCGGCCGTTATCATCGACGAGCGAACCACTTGCATCGCACGGCTTCGTGTCCTGTTGATTAACCTGACTGCACCGCGACAGTTGTTTACCGAACAGTCTGTGTTGCCAACTGACCGGTTTCGCGGTGGCCGCAGGTGACTTTTTCGTTACGTTTCCCGAGGTGGATGATGCCTGCTCGCTGTAGCACGCGGCCATCGCGCGTAACAATTAGCCCGCTTCATTCACCGGCAACACGCACCGACGAACCTCACGTTTCTACACTGGCTAAACTCGAACTTCTCGCTGCTTCTTGCCGTCAACGCCGACTGATTCACGTTTCGCTGACTCGCAGCCCGCGACCAATCGCGAACGATTCGATCCGAACAGACCCGAGCAAACCCGAGTCGCGCCGATGAATGCGCGCTCTTTCTCCGTGCAAATCATTGGAACTATAGTACTATGCGTTGCTAGTAAGTTGGCAATCAGGATGGCATAGAGGGAAAAAGAACAAGTCGCTACAATCTCGATTAACCCGCGATCGTCTAAGCCAATAACGGAAAAGTGTATGGCCCCATCTCTGTGGTTATGCCTATTTTACTACACCAATCAAACCCCTATTTCTTCCTACTGCTAAGTAGAGCACTAATATGTTCCATGAGAAAACCAAATTGAATGTAAACAGGGTTTGTCGCGCATTAACTTCCCGAATGCAAAAACAAACTTCTTTTAAATGTTTACTATAGCTTTACAATTTCTAGTCAAGCTATCAAACAAATATCAATAATTATTATCGATGCTTAAATTTGTTATATTTTTTACGAAATATTTTGTTAGAAATATGAAGAATATCTTGTTTTACATACATACATGTTTCTCCACATCTTTCTTGAAATAAGTATAGCTGCTTATTAAGACGCTATTGTTGTAGCCACATTAGTTCGTTTAAACGTACCATGGACCCGAAGCCATGAGTTCAATCTCTTTACATTCATTTTTACACTAAATAGAGAATACACTTCTCGATATTGAACAAAGTCGATCAATCGAATATTAATTTCAATTTGCATCGTGAATGGATAGTAGAAAGTGTTGAAATAATTTGAAGAATTGGTGATGTATACTATAACCTAACTGAAAATAAAAACTGCGAACGTTAGGACTTTAAAAACGTGTCGTTTAATTTAAAAACAATAGTCTAAATATGGATCTTAAGAATTTGAGAAATGTACTTACTGTTATTTTATATTTAGTAATTAATTATCGGTTTCTAACCTAGTTTCGTATGATTATAAATAATGTTTGCAAAACTGTATTTTTATACGATTATTTTATAGTTGAAGGATTTTCTACTTCTGTATAACCAAATATCTGAAAGGTGTTTCAAACGATGTATGAATACATTTCTTTCGGGAGACGTTTCTATCGACGAGGTGTGTTTTGTATTTAATTACATTTGTAGTCACTTATTGCGTTTAGACATTAAATAACATTAAGCTTTTTTCCCCCAATCCGGCATTTTGCAGGATGTATGTATAAAAAAATGTTTGGAAAAACACATTAATGGAAATTATAAAATGATGTCTGTATTTATGGAAGTTGAACCTGTTTTTACAAAGAAGAAGATAGAAGAAGTTCAAAAAGCTCAGGCAGCTTTAGAAGCACAAAGGGAAAACAATGTTCCTGAGAATGTTACATAATTGATATTATGCAAATTAACCAAATTTTCCATTGTGTATTTTATAGGATTAATCAACCTTAAAATAGTTTCCCAAATTGACAAATATTTTATATGTACATTTCACATTGTATAAATAGTACTTATTAGCCATTATTACTTGTATTAATACATCATAAGATCATTTTAAATGCACTAACAAATAAATCAATGTTTAAAGAGTGATTGATATGCAGGAAATTATAATTAATTATTTTTGCACAATTATATTTTCAACATCAATGTAAAGATTCAATATTCTGATATAAAAAGTATATTAAGTAATTTTAACTCTGTACAAAGCAAAGTATATAAGCATTCATTTATTATTAGGAATTTGTATACACATAATATACACACAATAACATCATGATTAGGAACATAATACATTAGCTACAATACGTTTTATGAACTAAAAAGTGTTTCAACGGTGTACCTCAGTAATGCAAGTTAGTCAATGTTGCTCTGCAATCTTATTCTTAATTAATAAATATAAGACCGTACTGTTATTTTATTACAGTATGTTTTATTGGCCTAAATGCTCCTATTAAAATTTCTTGAACGATGGAATGTATTTATTGTACTATCATAGCAAAATATTTAAAAAATTGATCAATTTTCAAAGATTGTTCATTGAATGAATACGAATTACATAAAAGCTAAAATATTATTAGCGTATCGTGGTTACAAGTTTTGTAAGTTCTGTTGATCCAAAGATAAGTGCAGATTTAAAACTATGATAATCTGCAGGAGTTTTGAAAATGCTATAAATTGTGTATGTATTTCACATATGATTCATTTACACATATTACTTCACATACATTAAAAGATTTACATCATGATCACATTGGAAGAATTTCATTTAAAAAATTATGATAAAACGTATTGATGGTATAATGATATAATATTAATAGATTATTTTTTTTTTTTTTATATAATTTAACTTACTATCAATGCTAATGTAAACTATGAGTGTTAGCAACAAACAATGGTGACAATATACATACATTTACTTTATCTATACTAAAAATTGTCTACATATAAAGCGTAATAATCTGTAATATCTTAGTACAGATTTTATGTACTGCTGATTTAAAGTAAAAAATATGTCAACATATGTGAAAGTAAATATAAATTATATTTTTAATTTATTTAACGTTTATTCGGGAAGATTAGTTTTGATGTACCGCGTATAAAATTCAATTAATACTTCCAATATTTAAAATGAAACGTAAGAAACAACAAAATACGTTTAATATATGGATATTTTCCAGTCATCGTTATTGTTTTCTCATTAGCACAAGCAATATATCTATTATATTGGTGCAAAATGTAATAATATAAACAATCAATTAATACTGTTTTATACATATTGTAGAATTCAAAGCTCAGTTTATCATATTCCATGTATTTACATTAGTACTTCTCTAAGAAGTCAGATATAAAAATTAAATATCTATTGCATTTATGGTTTCATAAGCATTACTATTGAATAAAGAAAACCTTTACCAAATCCACTAACAGACATTCTTGATTACTGTTGAACATAATTATTGTTACACATAAATGCTAATTATATGGCTGAAACGCATTTATGTATGGTGCTTAGTGATGGGACTGATACCTATACATATCAAGATACCCAAACAATTCGATACCAAAGTACTTAATAGGAAATACTGAAAGGTATTGGGGTCTCAGGTTCTTGATATCATTTTTCAATACTTTTGTAATTACTATGTGATCGATACCAATATCGTATGGTATCGATAGATATCGATGGTATCGAGTAGATATCGATACTAATGTACACATATGCCGGAACGTAAAGTAGCGAAAATGTGAAAGGACATGTACAATGCGAATGCGATACGAAGCAATTTTAAGAATGACGAGATCGTATAAAAAGAGAAGAAAGGAATAGAGACGAGAAATTGTAGAATTACGCTTTCGCTTAAAATAATTTCACAACGAATCCAAACCCACGATCTCTTCGGAATTTTCAAAATGAAAATCTTTCCACTGTTATTTAAAGCACATTAATACCATAAATAAGACTAGAGTTAAAAAATATAAAATTTATATTAGAAGTACGCACTATGATATTCACAAACGTACTGACTAGAAACATACTTTACAACTAAAATATAAAATTATGTGGTTCTAAAACTTATGCAACATTCTAACAAATGTTACATTTTATGAAGACCCATTGTATTTGGAGCATCCATAAATTTCACGATACTTTTGAATCCAACGAATATTAATACTTTCATAGCAATATTAATTTTGTTTGATACCTATACCTTTGATACCAGACTACAATTAATGAGCTGGTATCGATAGTATTGATTTGGTATCATACCCACCACTAACGGTGCTACATATCTGAAACTGGCCAATATTTAAAGTACAATTCAGAAAAAAGTCAGTCTGTTTTTGTGTCTATCCATTCCTGTCCCAAAAATCATTTAAACCGACAAGTATCTTAATAACAGCATTTCCTAAGACATTTTTAAGGATTCAAAAGATGTTCTACCTTTGTCACTTTCTCTGTTGTTCGAAGAAAGATTCGCATGGACGAATGCACCCCTTTATTTGTATTCTTCAAAATATTCGCATTTACTTCTTCTAGTGTAACTACTGCTCGAGCCACGATGGTAAAGACGAGTTTGGCGGTTTTACCTTTATCTTAAATTGCTTCAGTGTTGCTTCCAATGCAGTTTGATTTCCAGAAAAGTAGGCGGATATTGCATTATGAAACAACAGTAACTGTTTATGCATTACCTTGATCTGTAATCAAAATACAACACACATCTTGGGAGGCCTTTATAAAGATCGAATTATTTTTACTTATAAAGCGGAGTAAAAACAAAGTTATAATTATAAAATAAAATTTTACGTGAAACGTAAAACATCGTGCGAAATTAAGTTACTTAATTGTTCTTGGTTTATAACTTGTGTTTTCCGTTTTATTTTATAGCGATAAATAAAAACATACCCTGTTTTCGTCTAAAAATTTAAGCTTAATCGAAACATCTGAACGTAGTTTCTCGAAATTTTGTTTATGTTCCTCGTAATTAGATTGCGCCTCTTCTAATCTTACCGCATTAGTACCATCAGATTTGGTTGCTTGCGCTAACGCTTCAAGATCCGTTCTATAGGCATCATATTCTATTCTGTAAAAGCAACAATTTTTAAATATTAAAGTTGTAAAAAATGTTCAATGTAAATAAATTGATTTAAAATTAAAATCAGCATTACCTTGCTGTTTCATATTGCCGTACTGTGAGCAAGGTGTCTTCGATAGTTTTGTTACAGAGCGTATTTACGGAAGAAACAAAAAAATTTAAGGCCCCTAATAGCGTTTCACCGTTTTTAGTTAAATATCTCTGAGTTTCAGAGTTATACAGAAACTCTTCTTGTAACTCCGGAGATTTCTGCGCTAACTCAGAAAATGCTTCTCCGAGAGCATGTTGTGTTTGAACAACATGATGGAAATGGGAAGCCAGTGCTCTTGATAACCGTAATACATTGCAATATTTACGTTGAGTATCTCTCAACAATTCGATTTGCGTTTCCAGCTCTGAAAATCGAAACAATTTATCAATATGCGATTAAAATATGCACAATCGAAATTATATTACGGGTAACTCACCCGAATCGACTGTACGAGATGTCTTTCCAAGTTTTTCATACATTAACTGTCTGGTACACTTGTATGTAGAAATACTCCAATTTTTAATGCTTTCAATTTTACTTTGAGCAGTACGCATTGTCTGTGTATCATTATTTTGAATAGGTGTATTTGGAGATATTGTTACAGCTGCCATTTTAATAAAAACAGTTTTAGAATTAATGACAATATGTTAGTTGTAGTATACAGTAGTGCCCCCTTAAGTGACCACGTTCGGGACCGGCCGCGGTCACTTATGTGGGCATGGTTACTTCTCGGAATTCAACGGAGATAAGGAACGAGGATAAGTGCGAGTGAGATAAAATAGTTGCCACCCGAAACCATACATACAATGTATCGATAACGACCGGCGTCAAGTTACACTCGACACGCTCGATGTTCGAAGCCGCTTGGCTTCTAAGAATTGGTGGTGATAACCGCGGACATTTAAATGGGCAAAAATGCGGTCACTTAAGTGGGCACTACTGTAATTTAATACTGCTTGTATTACTTACATGTTTGTGACATAGGACTAGACATTGTTAAATTTATTGTAGCTGGTCTAGTTTGACTATCATTATTACAATTGTTTGGTACATGAGGGGGAGGGGTCCCGCTATGAACTGTGTTGTCATTATCATTCAAAGAAGGAGCATCTTTTAACATTTCATGAATACTTCGCTCCATTCCACTTGATACAGCAACTATATGGAACATTTCAGTTGAAAATAAGTCATTACACACAACGACACATATGGCTTCAAATAAAATACAAGCTAAATTGGAAACTTTGCCAAAGATGATAATTAAAATTTTTAATAAATACGTGCTGAAAATAAAATGAATATGAATGATAATAAAATTTATTGTAATAGTATTAAATCTAATTAATAGAATGAACATCAATGAAAATATTACTGAAATTTATATTGAAAAAGGGTATTGAAATTGTTATATACTTACGAGTATTGTGCAAAAAGTTACTGGATTAAAAATGATAATAAATTTTGTGGAAAAATAAAGAATTTGCAAAGAACAGAAAATGTTTACGAGAAACCGCCATTTTTTTTATAATACTCGAGTCACTAAAAATTGCTACATACTGCCCAGAAAAACGTTGTATATAAAATTATGTACAAATAATCCAGTTGTATTGTGACATATTATATTCGAATGCTTCATTAATAATGCGAACTGTACGAATGAAAGAAGCACGGAGAACTGTCACTTGACACCTGTTTTAAAACTAAGTACGGTTAGACAGGCGTTCCTTCATGAATTTCAGCAGTATATCGTTCGAATGTCGAGAGATTAAAAATTTTTACCAATAAAAGGAGCACCATTTTAAGTCGATACTTACTAAGAAAATCAGGGGATATATGTAAATGCTATTATTATATGCTCAAAACTTCAGAACGAATCTATATAATGTTTTATGAGAGATGCAATACACGAAACTAGGTGGCGTAATGCAAATGTCCTTTGGAATCACCCAAACCCTAAAACTTACAATGTAATTTTCCCTGCACTTATTTACACTTTTTCTTAGTTACATACAATGATAATTTTGTTACACGTGTAACAATGAAAATGTAACAGTTTACGAATAAAATTTTAATAATAGCCTTTCCAAATTGATGATCATTAATTCGAGAACCGCTGCAAATTCTGGTAATTTGTAGGTTTTTACCTGAAAATTAAATACATAATTACCAATGATAGAAATGTTACAATGACCCAAATTATTTATTTCTTCAAACGTTTACGGTAGTTTGTATTTAGAAAATGATAAATGTGGGTTTGCACTACGTATCGAGCAGTATCGAGTGCATACTCTTTCTCTTTTTATATTCTATGATTGCAATCGGCGCATGGGTGGTATGCGATGGTGTGTGAGTACGGAACTCCTTCGAAAAGCCTGTAAAGGAGTTTCCTCCACGTTTTTGGTTTTGACAGGTACATATTTATATATACTCCTATTAAATATTACAGAATAATGACATAGTATATTTAGAATAAATTAATTTTATTAATCGCATGATGTATTTATGAAATATTTTGCTAACAGTATATTGTGTCGGTTATTACACGAGGTTAGAATCACATAATGAAATGAGACGTTGTATTTTCGAGTATTACATGTTCTTATCCAATATAGATACATACGAACATTTTTTTATAATACGTTTATAGTTAAGTTATTAATTTCAATTTTATACTTTAGTCAAAAATATGACTATTCGTTTTTTAATAAAACACCAATAAAACATATGTTAAATTGTTCTGTACAGGATTTAATTATTTGATGATATTCCTAATTTGAAAAAAGTTATCATATCTCATAAGGTTATTCAGCTGTTTTAGAATATGATATATGTAAAGTGAAATTTATAATTATCTAAAAGTTCTTTTAAACATTAAATTTCTGTTCAACACTTTTTTGAAAGTGAATATTATCTAAGCATTTCTGTACTATTTGTTCAAAAGTTTTTTATGCTTTTACGTCTTTTTAATGAATAATTCTATATTCATTTTGTTTATATAATTAAACTATAATTATTACCATAAAATTAAAAATGTAAAATAAATATGAAAATAAATTTCAACTGTGCTCTTCTTAATTTATTTACTTTACAAATGTAATTTTCAGGCAAATAGATATCTTGTCATCATGCCACCAAAAAAATCTATGGAGGAAACGGATCGTTTGACCCGTATAGCTATTGTTAATTCTGATAAGTGCAAACCAAAACGGTGTAGACAAGAATGCAAGAGATCTTGTCCTGTGGTACGGATGGGGAAACTTTGTATAGAAGTTACTCCAAATAGTAAAATAGCTTCTATATCTGAAGAATTATGTATTGGATGTGGTATTTGTGTTAAGGTATGCCAAAATATTCTGTAAAAAAAGGATCTTTTTATGAAAATGCTAATACTTATTTGTGTAGATATATATGTAAATATAAATTTTAGTTTTATAAGCTATATTAATTTAAAAACAATTAAGTTAAATTAATAGTTTGAGTGCTATGACAGTCATCAGTATTAGCTGTTAGACTTTTCATTTAGATATCTTTGATCACCAATAACCAATACTTCAATATACAGGGTGTTCGACCACTCCTGGGAAAAATTTTAATGGGAGATCCTGGAGACTAAAATAAGATGAAAATTAAGAATACTAATTTGTTGATTGTGCTTATTATAGACCTTACATCCAATGTATTTTTTCGGCCCCATTAGAACTCCATTAATACGCGTTGTTTGAATTTTGTATCATTAAAATCCTTCAATCCGTTCGGAAGTTATGATTTTTTAAACAAACGCATGAAATTTCGGGGAAACACATTTCTGGCCACACGGTATATTTTCGGTAAACAATTTTTTTCTCGAAAATGCGTAGGATTTTGGGGGTATGTGTATTCACCAAAAATGATTCTAATTGACCCCCACAACCGAAAATAATTTTTCCAAAACGATTTGAAATTTTTTTTTTCCGTCGAAAAATTTCACACCTCGAATTTTTTTCTAGAAAGTGTGTAGGATTTCGAGGATATGTCTATTCACCAAAAATGATTGTAATTGACCCCTGCAACCGAAAATAATTTTTCCAGAATGATTTAAGATTTTTTAATTTAATTTTTTAATAACTTTTTAACGAAGCCTCAATCAACAAATTAGTATTCTTTAACTTCAATAAATTTTAATACTTATCAACTTTTGAATAACCATTGATGTCATTAAAAATATTCTAAAATAATAATTATACCATTGGAATATTGAATGTTTCTACTTTTCGCATAATAATTTGAACAAATGTTGAGGATAACTTGGAACACCTCAGTGGCATTTAGTACAAATGCAGAAGCATGAAATATTTGTTTGGAATTGAACCTGTTAATAACGGTTAAGTTTGTGATTGTTTAAATATATAGTGTTTGTAATATTTTGTTTTTAGAAATGTCCATTTGAGGCAATATCTATCATTAACCTTCCTAGTAATTTAGAAAAAGAAACTACACACCGTTATTCAAAGAATTCATTTAAACTGCATAGACTGCCTATTCCGCGTCCTGGAGAAGTACTAGGTTTGGTTGGGACCAATGGAATTGGTAAATCAACTGCTCTAAAAATTTTGGCTGGCAAACAGAAGCCCAATCTGGGTAGATACACTGTATGTATATTCCCGTGTATACTTTAAACCGGGCCTGATGAACTACCCCACCACGGTCGAGCATCAGTTTGTCAGGCCTGGCATAAACTGTATCTCTTAAATTTACAGTTTTTTCTAATTAATACAGGATCCACCAGATTGGACAGAGATTTTAAGTCATTTTAGGGGTAGCGAGTTGCAAAATTATTTTACTAAAATATTGGAAGACGATTTGAAAGCCCTCATTAAGCCTCAGTATGTAGATCAAATTCCTAAAGCTGTAAAAGGCACTGTGCAACAACTGTTGGATAAGAAGGACGAGTGCAAGAATCAGTTAGACATTTGTAGAATGCTGGGTAAGGTAACGTATGTATTAAAAATACAGGGTTAAAGACATTTTTTTAATCAAATCGTTTACAGATTTGATGCATATACGCGACCGAGGCATCGACGCACTATCTGGCGGAGAATTGCAACGATTTGCATGTGCTATGGTGTGCATCCAGAATGGAGACATTTTTATGTTTGATGAACCGTCTTCATATTTAGACGTAAAGCAGCGTCTTAATGCGGCTTTAACAATTCGATCTCTTATTCATCCTGACAAGTAAGAAGTTGATATTTGCGTATCTTAAACCATTCATACTCAAAATTAAGTTATATTTTGAGCATGATTAATCATACACTGGGTATGAAAATTTTTTGTAATATTTTAACAAAATTGACAACATTATTAAAACTTGACAGATTTATAATAGTAGTAGAACACGATTTATCAGTTTTGGATTATTTATCGGACTTTATATGTTGCCTTTACGGTGTTCCTGGAGCTTATGGTGTAGTTACTATGCCTTTCTCTGTAAGAGAAGGTATAAACATTTTCCTCGACGGTTTTGTACCAACGGAAAATTTGAGATTCCGTGAGGAGTCCCTTATTTTCAAAGTGGCAGAAAGCGCTACCGAGGAGGAAGTGAAACGTATGAATCATTACGAATATCCCGCGATGACGAAAACAATGGGTTCGTTTAGCTTAATAGTTGAAAAAGGACAATTCACGGATTCTGAAATTCTTGTACTACTTGGTGAAAATGGTACTGGAAAAACGACATTTATTAGAATGTTAGCTGGTAATTTACCACCTGATGATGGCTCCGGTGAGAAAAGTTTAATTTATTTATGGTTGAAACGTTTGAATGATTTAATTATTGACTAACACAATTGTGTCTTTTATAGGGAGTATTCCCCAACTACATATCAGCTACAAACCACAAAAGATAAGTCCTAAATCTCAAGGTATCGTACGGCAATTGTTGCACGAAAAAATTAGGGATGCTTACGTTCATCCTCAGTTCGTGACGGACGTTATGAAACCTTTGAAGATAGATGATATTATGGATCAGGAAGTGCAGAATTTATCTGGGGGAGAATTGCAACGGGTGGCTTTGGCTTTGTGTCTTGGAAAGCCTGCCGATGTTTATTTAATCGACGAACCTTCCGCGTATTTGGATTCTGAGCAACGTTTAGTCGCGGCCAAAGTAATAAAACGGTAATTGGGAATTATTGATCGTACTTATTATTACAACGAATTATTGCTTCGAGTATAAGATAACTAGGTTGGTAGCGGAAGGAATTATTTCAACTTTTGTTATTATTTTAGATTCATATTACATGCAAAAAAAACCGGGTTCGTAGTAGAGCACGATTTTATTATGGCTACTTATCTGGCTGACCGTGTAATAGTATTCTCTGGTGTACCATCCTTGTCAACTACAGCTCATAGTCCACAATCTTTACTAAACGGTATGAACAGGTTCTTAGAGCTCCTAGGCATTACTTTCAGAAGAGACCCGAACAACTTTAGACCGAGGATTAATAAGAGTCAATCTGTAAAAGTACGTAATTTTAAGCACGAATTCATAAACAAACAAATTTACATTATATTTAATGTTATGTTTTCACAGGATTTGGATCAAAAGAGAGCAGGGCAATATTTCTTCTTGGAGGAGTGAGATATGAACTGATTTTGATAAGTTGAATAGCAGCTTATATGAAATACTGTTAAGACGTTTTTGTAAATCTTTATACGTTTAAAAGCCGGGAATGGAGTTCTTACAATATATTAAACACCAGTGACGCATATTTTGCGTTATATCGAAATATTATTCGTTTCGACACTACAATTCTGCTTATAGGATATTTATTTTAGTGAATATATAAAGCGAATTTTTCAAAATATATTACAAAAAATTTAATTCAAAGAAATACAATCGTATTTTTGTACGACATATTGCTGCCACAAATTTATTTATGTCTTATCAACATGCGTCACAATTACATTTCCAATATCACACAAATTATACAATGCATTTTTTTGTATAAATAATAATTTGTGTTTGATTATGCATAACAAATCAAAGGGAATTAAGTAATTCAGTATATTTACATGTACATCTGCTATGCAACGTGAATTATAATACAAGTGAAATTTAAAGAATGAATGAATTGGTCATTTAATAAACCTCGCAAATTAAATAATTTTATGATTTTACATATTGCTGCTAATAATACAATAGAAAGAATTTTTTATTGTGAAATCACTCAAGAAATCGATATCAACATCACCTTTTTAAAACAGTATTTTCTTTAACCCTCGCTCAGCCGACTGCGTGCCAACGATGGATCAAAATGATCCATTCTGATTCTGACTGGTCGTAGGTTAAATCGAAATGACGTACTTACATGTACTCTTTGCGAATACTCGATATTTGGTGGGGAACGTATAACTACGTTTTTAGTTTTTAAATTGAGATTGTAACATTTGTTGTAATTTCAAATAAAGCTATATTAAAATTTGAAAAATTGTGGAATTATCCTCGTTGCGAACGTTACATTTCAAACGTATAAAATCTATTTGCTACGTTCGAAAATAAAACATAATGGAAACGCGTATATCTTCCGGGTATTATTGTAGTCACGAGTAGATAAATTTACGTGCCAATTTAGCTATCTTATTTATAAAAAATTATTCATTATCAACGTGCTATTTACATGTAGGAAGCATTTAAACAATGTTAAGATCAACAAGAGATTGCAATTATCTTTTATTATCCTTTACTTTCGCGTGAGATATAAATTTTCGTCAGTATGTGTAAATCGATATGTCATATAAGGTATAATAAATCATTGTAAAATTATCATTCAACAAAGCACATTGAAAAATAGAATGGTTCAAATGATCAGATTTAAGTACTGCTAAAAGGATCTCTTCTAATGAGAAATGTTATTAATATCTATCTTTTCTAATACGAATGTAACGATCTACCAAATTGACGAAGGAAATAAAATTGAATTGAGAAAAGTAAACCATGTGTAGTGATTATTGGAAAACAGTTTTCATTGAATAAATAGCAAACAAAGAATGATTAATTTATTATTTTATGTCTGATTAATTTCTTCCCTTGTGATGTCTTAAATATAAATATGTATGAGGATTTAACCTAAGATTTTAATATGTTCACATCACTAATGACTGACGAACTTATAACGCATTGCAAGATTGATTACAATGAAAGAACCCTAATACTTGAGCAATTGTAAAATAATACATGTAGGGGATACCTCTAAATATGGAAAATCGGCGTCGTAGTCAACGTGTAAAGTGTACGTGAAGATGGTAATTAGAAAAACGATTGTTCTAGTCGTTTCGATTCAAAATCAATTCCAGGATCGATTTTGTTTGCAAATATCGAGCATTCCTACAATTATTGGATTCAGACAAGGGAATAACTAAAGGAATAAAGTTGATTATTCTTTTTTCTTGTAGAATAAAAGGAAAATCTTCAATACGATATAAACATTACTTAGAATGTATATTATTGTCTGCATAATTACTGTTCGACGATCGAAAAGTAACTTTTATGTCTAATCGTATTCTTTCTGTTAAACATCGAATAATAAAACTACATCGTATTCGAAAATAGTATTTTGACGTGAAAATTCTACGGTCAAAAAATTTTAAATATTTATCTAGAACTTTATCTTTTTCATCTGTTTTATGTAATACACTTACGATGCACAAATACGATTAGAAATAACTATACCTTCAAAATATAAGAAAAGGTAGTGTTTTTCTTGAAGTGTTAGCACGTAATTAACTATTTACAGATAATAGAAGAAATTTTAAAGAAGTTGCAACGACAAACGAACGAGTGAGAGAAAGCATCGTTGGATTCAACTTTTCTTTTAAAATTATATTTGTTTGAAATATTTTTTTAAAAAGTTTCGTAATCATCAAAGGTTTATTTATAAGCAGAGTAATAATATTCAAATGAACATTTCAGAGGTTATACTTTAATACTAATAATTAATGTAGTATTACGAAACCGAAGATATGGTAAGAACATGTTTTTCCGCCTTTGTTTCATATTTTTAGAAGTTACATAAATAAACGATAACTTTTAATAAACCGTTATGTCTGTTTCAAAGGAGTAATTCTTCTTCCTTCCCGCTTTTTGCGAAGAATAAAATAAAATAGAAAAATAATTAAATTATGAAGGGTGGATTATGATTCTACCAATTTTAAAATGATTTCCAACATCAGAAGAGAAATCATTGTAAAATAAAAATAATTTGTATTTGTTTGAGTGCTCGTTACACGGTTGTTTAACAAGATTTTGCAATAAAAAAATTTGTACCCCTATACATTTTAAGCTACCAAAACATCGTGTAAAAGGGAAATTATTTATACCTAACAGTTTTCCTTTAATAAGCCCTCAAGTCCTCTTAATTTTATTACATGTTTCGTAACTCTGTATCTGCGCAATAAAGTTAAAACACATTTATTCAAGTAATCTAACTTTGGAACAGTATTAATATTTGTTATCAACTAATTATGATAAGTTATGTTAGCGTAATTTAACCGTGTCTTGTTCCTTGCAAACGATTGTTTTTACGTACAAATAAAGTTTTGTCACGTGATGTCCTCGACTTTGCATAATTTGAGAAAATTTCCCGGCGTAACATTTTCAAATGATAAGTTTTACAGTGTTATTAAAATGTTCGTCGATACCCGGAAATACAAAACGATAAGTAGGCCCAATTAAACGACCGGCGTTTTTCTATAAATTTGAGGCCATCGGTGCGGCAAAAATTAAGCACCCGATCGAGAGGAAGCATATAAATTGGTGAGGCTTACCGATTTTAAAAATCGTTGCCGTAAAAAATGATATTCTTACGTTTCGTTTCGTTCGTTATTCTGGTGGTCCATATACAACTGTCGGGCTCTGGTAAGTACACTTTCAATAAAAATTCTATGGCATTCGATTCGATCAGTTTCATCGTAATTCTACAGGGATGTGACTTCGAGGCACATATTAAGTTTCAGCAACTGTAGGGTCTTTAAGTAAAATATAATAATGACATTTTATGTACTGGAGTTGGAACATAATTTCGTGCTGTTTCTTTTTTATTTTTTCAAAAAAACAATAAATCAATAAATAATATATTCTCTTCCATCGTTTACGGTCTCTTCGTAAATATGAATTTGGTTCATTTATTAAATAATTGTCAAAATTATAAATCCAATCTTCAAAATTTTTAGTTAGAATGCAGGGTGATCGGTCGCTTCTGGGAAAAATTTTAATAGAAGATTCTAGAGGCCAAATTAAGACGAAAATCAAGTATACAAATTTGTTGATTGAGACTTTGTTAAAAAGTTATTAACGTTTAAAGTTGCGTGCGATCGATAGAATGAGGCAGGTCAGTCCTAGTGGTTCTCACTCACAAAACTGTAAGACTGTCGATACGTCAGTAAGTAGAGTTTCTCATGTTGAGTGAGAACCAGTATCATGCGCACGCAGTTCGCAAGACGCCGTCTTACAGACGGAACTTTAAACGTTAATAACTTTTTAACGAAGCCTCAATCAACAAATTAGTATTCTTGATTTCCGTCTTATTTTGGCCTCTAGAATCCCCCATTAAAATTTTTCCTCGCAGTGACCGAATAAGTAATCAGGTACTTTAAAGATTTGAACTTTTAAGTCTTAAAACAAGTACCGCCAAAATCTGCACAAAGTTGATCAACCCAATATAATTTTTATTCGATTGCATGATTTTAGAGCGCGTATATATGCCTGACCAAGTGGATAATAATTCAAATGACTTATCTACGCCCGAAGAATGTGCACGGAATTGCGTTGACGGCGAACCGCCTAAACGTTGCTACTATAGCTTTAACATTGAATTCTACACGGTAATGGGACCGTACGTATTAACAAAAATTATTACGCAGTGAAAATTCATCGCGGCGACTTCCTACTTTTAAATATAATTTTCATATATGAGGAATTATCGTTAGATATTAAGTACCGACAGCTTCGTATTAATATAATCAGACGTAATGGACGACATATTAATTGTCTCTTAGTGCTTGCGATTCGAGGGAGCAGCAAAATCAATGCATTTACGCCGATGGACTTGAAAAGACATTAACACCTATTAATAGGCAATTACCAGGACCAATAATCGAGGTATACATATGTATAAGGAGATAAATAAAATAGTTATTTTATTCATAATTAAATATTCCTCAATGGCTCGAGGAAACTATTTTTACACCATAAAGTGTCAACTCTTTCATTTGAAATTCTAAAGTTCAAGATTAGCTCAAGGCTATATCGTAATTGCGGTTTAATTAATTTGGCGATAGTTGTACGGTATAGAAGATACGGAGTCGAATTAACACAGCATTAATTACCTAGAAAAAAAAAAATATTACGCTCATACGTACTTACACCTAACACGATCAAGTTTTACAGGTATGTAAAAACGATACCATTATAGTCGACGTGAAAAATGCTGCGCCTGGTCTCGAAGTCACAATACATTGGCATGGAATATTTCAAAAGGGATATCAATATTATGATGGTGTTCCTTACGTCACACAGTGTCCAATTCCATCTTCATCGACATTTAGGTGAATATCCTAAAGTACACTTTATATCTTACTGAAACAAGTACACAAGTACATTTGAATCTTAACATTCGAGAGACTTAATTTTGAAGTTATACAGGACGTTAAAAAATGATGATCAATACATTCTGAGTATTTCAACTCTAAATAAATTGTCTAAAAAATAGTCGGTTAATCTGGATCCGATAATCAAATTTTGTAGAGTAAAGAACGGTGTTCTATTGTCCATAATGTAAAGTATTTCCTTGACAACAGGCAATTATTTGAAAACCTTATCGCATGTATTGTTCTTCCCGTTTCTGTATATCGTCGAGTTCCGCATTCCTTAAAAAATCCTTCAATTATTTCGAACAAATAGACTACTGTTTATTTACTGACATTATGTAATAGATAAACCGATAGAACACTTATATACCAAACCAGTTAAGATATAACCAGTTATTATCAAATTGTGTTTTCATCTTTTCTTCAAAAGCAAATAAAATTCATGGTATATCTTGATATTATATTTTTAGGTACGAATTCAAAGTCCAAAATTCCGGAACGCATTTCTACCATTCCCACATGTCGACGTTTATGTTAGACGGGCAATATGGACCTCTCATCGTTAGAGATACTCCATCGCAGGAGCGTCACTTGAACTTATACGATGAGGATAAACACTTAGTATTTTTAAGCGATTGGATGCATGAATTATCGCTTGAACGTGTTCCTGGTTGGTACAGGCACGATATAGGCCAAACTGCACAAAATATACTTATAAATGGCAGGGGAAATTGGGTGGTAAGATATATTCCCTGTATTTTGTTCGAATGTTCTGTCAAATACAATATTCCCTCCAAAGGTAGCAATTCCAAGAATCGGCCATTTTTATTTAAATTTGGGCCCAATGTACGCATATACATTACATCCATCAATCATCAACTTTTTATTTATACTATGATGAAGTAAATATTTTTTTTTTTTAATTGTAATTGTTCTTCGCAATTCGTGAAATTACTCGAAGAACATATGCCAAGGGATTTATTATAAGGTCATAATTATGCTTAGGATCCGGTTACCAAAAAGTCTACCAATGCAAGTATATCGGTATACGAAGTTGAAAAAGGCAAACGGTACAGATTCCGTATTATTAATTCGTTCAGCACAGTGTGTTTGGCAGAATATAGAATCGAGAACCACAAGTGCACTGTAATTGCTCAAGATGGTGCGAACGTGAAGCCTATAACAGTGGACACAGTAATTACGTCAGCAGGTGAGATACTTTTCCGATATACTAGTTTGAAAAATATGAAATTTAAACAGAGTACTTTACAATTTATCGCGATAGAAGCAGTATTTAAAGATCACGCTTAAACTTCGTCTCTTACAGTACATTAGGAAGTAGAATCAAGGGGGGTAGTTGAGTTTATAGACTATATTAACGCTTAAAATTTATGTAAATATATAGGTGAACGTGTGGATTGTGTACTAAACGCGTATCAGAAACAGAGATCTTATTGGATACAAGTACGCGGTCTCGGCGAATGTCAAGACAAAAAGGTTCAGCAATTGGCTATATTAAAATATAAAGGTGCTCGTGAGACTCCACCGACGCCTCCACCCACGTACGATAATGCGCCACAGGGTATTGTGAGTGTTAAATAACTATTAACAATTGTCCATTAAAATCCTACTTTAACGAGAGTTCACTTTATTCCTGCGTTTAATTTCATTTAAAATATTATACGAACTTTTCAGGTATATAATCCGTTGGACGGAACAAAATGCAATTCTCCGGATGTATCAAAAGCAGTTTGCATCAATCAATTTGAGAGCTTGGACAGCGAAGATGATATGTTAAGAGTCGAGCCAGATGAGCGGCACATATTAGATTTTTGGTTCTACAATTACACCCAGTATGGCGACAGACAACTGTTTTCGAAAAATTCGTACCCTGGCTTCTTCAGTGTGTACTTTTTAATTAATATTCCCTTCGTCAATAATAAAACAGCGACTGTACGAAGTACTTAGCACTGAAAAAATTTGTACATTATTATTGTTATGAATTTTCTTTGTTTCAGACGTAAATGATAAATCTCAGCTAATTTCTATGTTCAACGACATTACATTCGAAACTCCATCTTCACCACTGGTGTCGGATTCAAGGAGTTATCAAACTATGTGCAAGCCTAATCAGCTTAGCACTTGCACCCAACCGTGCGCATGTGCTCAAGTCATCCATGTACAAAAAGGAAGACTTGTAGAATTGCTAATATACGATCGAAGTAATATTTAATTTTCTATACTTTTGTTAAAACAATATGTTGATATTGGTGAAAAATTTGTTCGATAAAAAATTATATTTCAGTACCACTTGAGGGTCTCCATCATCCGTTTCATATCCACGGTTATGAATTCAAAGTGTTCGCCATTGGACAATTTGCGGACGCTAGAAACATTTCAAGAACGGATATAAATAATATATTAAACGAACATCGGCAACGCCTTCAACGGGGAGTGTATATAAATCCACCTGGTAAAGACACTGTTAAAATTCCAATGGGTGGATACACAATTGTACGTTTCAAGGCTGATAATCCAGGTACAGTATTTAATTATTTTCATAATAGTTTTCAATATACCCATAGTGAATTTGAGTAAACATAAATTACGTTAATAGTACCTAGATCAGAAATTTTATATTTAACTTACATAAGGATAGTCCTTCCATCATGAATCATTGTCAGCATCTGAACAAACCTATTTACAATACTATACAATTTTATTACAGGATGGTGGTTACTTCATTGCCACTTTACCTGGCATCATCTCACTGGAATGGAATTGGTTGTACACGTAGGAGAACAGAGTGACCTTCCGCCGATACCAACCAATTTTCCGGAATGCAGTAATTGGAAACCGCCATATCAAAGCTTGAATGAGTTTTATGGTTACGATAGATGTTCCTAATCTGATTAGTATTTTGTCGATGTCATAATATAATAAAATAAATATTTATGTAATACATAATTAGTTGAATGAAAAATGTCACCTATTGCAAATAATTTCTACCTGGAAGTAGAATTAAATTATTATTAGTTTTCAAACAAATTTATTCACTGTTTAAACGTGTTAATTTGAGAACAAATTAACAGACTCTGTGGATTTAAGTTTTAGATACGTGCTCTATCACACGTATGTATTTCGTTGGTATCATAAATCTATTATAAATATAATACATATTAAGGAAATAAATCATGTTTGCAAAGCATTGTATTTCCTATCATAGTATACAATATCATGTATGTACATAATATGATATATGAATAAATTTCATAATAAGAATATTGGAATTAAATCGATTCAGATGAGCAGATAATTTACCATGTAATAGTAGTCAAACTTACATAATTAATCAACGATATTCAATTTAAAAATAAAAAAAGTATATATATATGTATATATATATATATATGTACAGTAAATTTCAGTTTGTCTCGAAAACCATATCTGGACGCTTATTATTCCCACAGGTAGGAAAATCTAAAGGAACTGGTACGAAACTTTCGCGATTTCCTACCTTCAATAAAAATTGCATACCGGATCCAAACGTTCCTGGAGAAATTGCTGTGCTTCGTGCTTCCCACAACCAGTATCCTGCAAACAATAATTAAATTAACTACGTAACATGCTAACTTTTGTCCAAGAGTAATTACACTGTATTTGTTCACACCTTCAAAATTCGTTTGTTAAGCATCTTACCTAAATTGTCGGTAAAGAGACGAAGAATAACGTAACCTTTGTTTGGCACAACGAAACTATCTTTTCGAGGAGGATTTATTAAATTACGGTGCAACTTTCCGTTCCGATCCAAGTCCATGATTTCGTCTTTGGTAATTGCTTGTTCAAAACTGTTTCTACCAACGACACTTGCATTGTAGCCGTGTATGTGGAATATATGTGAAACATTTCCACCGAAACCTAAATAAAAAATTATTTTCAATATTATAGAATAATTGCTCACACGTATGTATACCTATTACCATTCAAAAATATTTGATCACATTTGTAGTACAAAAAAAAACAACTCTGGGAAAAATTTTAATGAGAGATTCTAGAGGCCAAAATAAGACGAAAATCAAGAATACTAATTTGTTGATGGAGGCTTCGTTAAAAAGTTATTAACGTTTAGAGTTCCGTCCGTACTGAATTTTTTTCTAGAAAGTAGATAGGATTTCGGGGGTAGGCCTATTCACCAAAAATGATTGTAATTGACCCCCGCAACCGAAAATAATTTTTCCAAATCGATTCGAAATTTTTTTTCCGCCGAAAAATTTGTCCACCTTTCTGAATTTTTTTCTCGAAAATGCGTAGGATTTCGGACGTATGTGTATTTACCAAAAATGGTTGTATTTGACCCCAGAACCTAGAAATAATTTTTTCAGAACGATTTGAAATTTTTTTTTTTCGTCGACTTACTCTCCTGTCGATTTTTCTTAGAAACGCGTTTTTGATTTTTAGTAATTCTGTTTGACGCCCTACAAAAAAGTTGTCTAATACTTTTTTGCAGGTACCAACGAGCTCTACTTCAGAAAAAAGTTTCATTCAAACATATTCACTATTGTAGGAGTTATGATCGTTTGAAAAGTGGACCATTTTTATGGGGTTTTTCTCATTTTGCGGGGTCAAGGATCCACTTTTCGAATATTTTTGCGATTTCTACATATTCTTCACTTAAATACGCGTTGTTTGCCTTTTGAAACACTGAAATCGTTCAATCCGTTCAGAAGTTATCACGTTTTAAAGATACGTAAGAAATTTTGAAGTCACATTTCTGGCCTGAAATTACATTTTCGGTAAGGAATTTTTTTTCTCGAAAGGGGCTATGATTTCGAGGGTATGTCTATTCACTAAAAAATATTGTAATTGACCCCCGCAACGGAAAATAATTTTTCCAGAATAATTTGAAATTTTTTAATTTTGTCGAAAAATTTCACACCTTCTCGAATTTTTTTCTCGAAAGTGGATAGGATTTCGGGGGTATGTCTATTCACCAAAAATTATTGTAATTGACCCCCTCAGCCAAAAATAATTTTTTCAGAACGATTTGAATTTTTTTAATTTTGTCGAATTTCACACCTTCTTGAATTTTTTTCTCGAAACTGGGTAGGAATTCGAGGGTATGTCCAATGACCAAGAATGATTGTAATTGAGCCCCGCAGACAAAAATAATTTTTCCAGAATAATTTGAAATTTTTTAATTTTGTCGAATTTCACACCTTCTTGAATTTTTTTCTCGAAAGTGGCTATGATTTCGGGGGTATGTCTATTCGCCAAAAATTATTGTAATTGACCCCCGCAACGGAAAATAATATTTCCAGAACAATTTGAAATTTTTGAATTTAATTGTTAATAACTTTTTAATGAAGCCTCAGTCAAGAAATTGTTAATCTTGATTTTGGTTTCATTTTAGCCTCTAGAATCTCCCATTAAAATTTTTCCCATGGGTGGCCCAATATTCTGTATATTATATTTTATACTTTTTCGAAAACCCACCCTCGTCTATCAGAACAATTTCGATGCTTTTTCTGGGCGGAACTTCAATTATCTGAATACACTCGCAAAACAGTGGTGTGTCGGCACACTCTTGCGAACGTGTTTCAAGAGAGCAAATTGACTCCTCCGATATATTTTCTGGTTGCGATAATAATGGAGAGGAAGGATATTTGAACGACATACCATTAATTTGCGCCACCCTTATTCCTTCTTCGTTAGTACCTTCAATTATAATCGGAACATTATAAAAGTTCAAAAGTTAATCGAAGTACCTTTTTCAAAAATATCCATGAATAAGTGAGAATTATTTTCCAGTAAATAAAACAGAATAACAAGCTAACAGGTACGCATGTTCTTACTCAGATAAGCGGGGTAGAATGCACATCCGTAAATATGGTATCTATTGTCGGTCATTTCATCCGTGACCGAAGGGAAAGCATTAACGTCGAACGGAATATAAATAACGTCGTTCGTGTCGATCTCAGCTAACGTTTCCTTCGACCCTTTCAAATCCAATGCACAAATGAAATTCTTCGTGATTTCGTGACAATTGAATCCCTTGTTCACAATTGCATCGTCATCGATTTTCAGTAATTCTTGGTCTTTCATTACCGTGGACTCCAACTTCGCGTCGTTATAAAAAATGAATGCTTCTTGACGAAGGTTTCGACATTCTTGCAGGCCCTTTATATCGATGAGATACTTTCCAGAAGGTTGATTTGTTTCCACAAATATATCGAATCTCTCGCCTGAAATGCAAGTTGTTTGAATAGTAAAATAATTAATCAAAAATATTTTATTTTTCGTGTTTATAGTCTTCAGTTTTCTTTTTTTTCTTTTGTAAGTACGCAAGATCTTCATACGGAAGCTATGCATTGATTTTATTTGAGCAACAGAGAGTATAAAATAAAATATTTGCATTAAAAGATACAACAATTTTACCACTTGTTCGAATGAAAAAAAAGCAACGAGCAAATATTTTTCCTGACATAATATATTGTAACCATGGAAAGAGTAACGGCATCCATAAGAACGCTTATGGTAGTCATTTTATTCAACAAAAATTATACAAAGTTAAATGTACGTTGTATATCATGTAACGTTACAGAAAAATATATAAATGAGTACAAGGAGTGTTGGAACAGATAGGGACAACATAACTTTGATCAATCATGATGTATCACTTGGATTTCATACAATCCAAATTAATTTTCCATAAATTTGTTGTTCAATTATTTTCTTTCCATCGAAAACTTTTTACGAATTTAACTTGGCAAATACAAAGTTGATCGAGATAGCTGATTTTGTTATCGATATTCTTCGTCTCTTTGCTAACGAGAAAGCATTAATTGCGAATATATGCAAAATGCATATAATAATAATTTATCGATTTAATTGGTAATTATGAACGAACATGTAAATTAGAGTAATGAAACGTCTGTATGTACATAATAAAATAAACTTCTAACGATCACCTTGATTCTCCCAGTTAGTTTTTAGATAGTCTTACCACTACGTTTCTTTTTACAAAAATTTTTTTATACTAGCAAAATCAATTGTTTATCGATACGCCGGTATTAATATCGTAATCACTACATATTGGAAGAAGAGTTAAGACGAGGGATATCAAGGCAGCGGTCGCAGTTTAACTCTCATATTGACCCGTATTCGAATTTCCACGCTTTTCTCTCGACTAACATTTTCCAACGTTGATGTTTCCTTTCGCGGAAACATACATCTATGTATTTCTTCAGAAGCCATGATCGAGGATACCGATTAACAATAATACTCAATAAGGATTTTAAAACCCAAGACAAATATCGGTATAATAATTATGAAACTTTAAATAAACGATAAACATCCAAATACGGTTTTCATATAATTTTAGCTCTTTTGATTACGTTTATTTTTATCATTACCGTATCTATCAATTGTCAACTTTTGTAACAGTTACACTGCGATTTAGTCGACTTCAATTCTCAAAATTATATCATTACCTACGATGTATCTATACAAATGATGTTTCGGGTGAATCATTCGAGGAACAACAACAAAACAACGCGTTAAAAATTAATTAACGCACAATAAATCCTTAAATTTCATGTACACGCAGCACATTCTGATATACAAAGCACAATAGATGAAATTTCTATTCCGACGTTAAGAAAAGGATCGTTCGAAAGAAATAATACGCTTGTAATGTTGGCCTAGAGACCAAATTCTGTTTAATGGAAATAAAAAAAAAAAGAACTTATTGCGTAAGAATGTATTATAAAGAACAAAATATTTTAAGTAGATTAGTTTAAAGTATTATATACCTTAATCTTTAATAACCGCAAGTGAAGACTTTTTAGAAAAGATCATGATAATACAAAAATATAAAACTATCGCAGAATGAGGAACAACAATGAATAACATTATAAAGACATACACCGGAGATTGATAAATCATGTGTACACACTACGTAACTATTAAAGGAAGACCTAATGTTCATGATATGAAATACGACACAGTCTTTTTACGAACCAAAAGATAAACGATTAAAGAAGACACCACTCTTTGTCTACACGGAGGGAATTTTTTTGATAAAAAATAGTTCGCTATTTATACAGCTTACTACGTCTATTATTTAAAGCCCTGAAACAATACCAATGAAATACTTATAATCTAAGTTACTGCTGAGGCAGATTGTACCAGATACAAATGACGAACGACGTTATTAGAGAGCTGATCCTGTGAAACGTCATTTCATAAAATATAATTCGTTTCACAATCTTCGTGTCACCTGATAACTCATCATTGCGACATTTAATATTAATCAAATTAACTGGTAAATTAAAAATTAACAACTAAGTTAGATTCAGTAAGGTGAAGTCACTCAACGTTAATTTTACGGATAATAATAATCAAGACCTGCATCATTCTCACATATACAAATTAAAAATGATTTTAATACTTTACAAGTGATAAAGGGAATTTCTTGTAGGAACCAGATTACACAGTATTCTAAAAAAGACAGATAAAGTAAAATAATAAAATTAGAGTATTATGAGGTACTACAATAAAAATTGTACAAAAAAGACACGAATTTTCTCTCTAATCGTTATATTGGATTTTCGTCAAATGCTTCTGAACAGTACTCTTCAAAAAGATTCCCCACTCTATCGCGCGAATTGTTTCCCGTTCAAACTGGCTCAAATGACACCGACGTTTTGCATAAGTTACATCTAAAATCACATATCCGCTATTTCTATCGAATATGAGTAACACTTCATTCAACGATTGTACATAAGGACTGACAAGAGACCACTTAAAAAATATTCGATTGGTGTCGTCGTGGTAGACAAATGAAATTACGGAAAACAATGTCCTTGAAAATACAGTCTTTTTCGTGAATCGAAGCTTACGATTAGAACCGTTACGTGCATCTCGAGGTGTTTCCGATACGTAGAAGGCATTCGTGAATTTAAAGATAATTCAAAGTTCTCACTTTCCTTCTATAGATTCCGAAATAATTAACATTTACGGTATATACACGATTCATTTATAGCTTTTACAACACAATAAACTTGTGTTTCGTCGCATGCAAAAACACATAAGGCAAGTATACTTTCCATACAACTCAAACGTAATGAATTAATAAAAATTAATTACTAAATACAATCGTTCGAAAAATCTCTGGAATCTACGATACTCGTAAGGTTCATGCATTTTTATTATCAACGCATAGAACATAAAATGCCGTTTTAAGAAAGATTTCCTTAACACTTTTGATTCCACACAATAATCTTAAACGTACGTAGAGCATTTTTTTTTTTGTTTACAGTAATGTTCAATTTTGTTCCTGGGGCATTGAACAATTATTTCCCAGGAAAAGTCCCAATTGTGTACAATTATCAAAAAAATATAATATTAAGTATAAACAGTTTTCTTACTTTGTAATGAGCGGTACAATAAATGGTTTTCCGCTAACTAATTCAATTTACGAATTAAAATCGTAAATTGCGTCGCACATTGAGCTACGATAACTCGCAAATCTTCGTATTTCATCGTGCAAATCTTGCTGTTGAAGTTTCGCGTCTCGTGGAAGGACAAACGTTATTTTCATTTAAACTTTTTTAACGCGTTTCGTCTAAAATCTCACACCTTTAACTTTTGTTATGACTATCGACCATTGATTTTAAGCTTTGCATAACATTTTACGACTAATTAATAGATACGATGATTGGTGCGCCACTTCAGGAACATCATTCTTTATTCGAATAATTGGACCATGAAAAATGAAATTTCTTTTTAGATTTAAATAATTTTTTGTCCAATTTCTATACGTCTCACGCATCCATTGCCCTTAATAAACCTTGGCAAACATCGTATTGTCGCTTCTCGATGAACTTCAAATTAAAATATAACTATAGTCCTATAGTAAAATTGGAAGTGCTGTTAAAATCGGTTGTGCATTATCGCACGACCAATGCTATTACAGATAATTTCCATAATGTTACAACATATATTTGCACCTACTATCGCCATGGTGTACTAATTGTAAGTAATGTTACTTATACGTCCCAGTCGGAACGGAACAATTTTCTGTCATAAAATGTTTTACTTCAACGTCAACGTCAATGATGAGCCCGTATCCTTGGCAAGCACGTCGGTTCAAACATTCGAATGTATAAGATTTTAAACTTTGTGCTTGAGTTATACTCGCTATATACAAGGTTTTTAATTAACTTTAACAAATTTTGCGAAGGAAATGCGTAAGTACACAACTTTCGCAGTTACACCCCTCCCCAACGATCAAAGGCATTATGCAACACTATAGCAATGTTACATTATAATATATGCTTTGATCCATTGCGAGTGTTCGTATCTAACTTTCGAACAAAACAAAGTATAATTTTGTTGCTGGGGCTATTTCTATACATACATATACAATATCGACGCCCTAGTGCGGTACTTTATCGGCTACTAGCGACAATATTAACAAAACGTCGTGTATACAGAGGATTTAAAACATACGTTAAAATGCTCGAACCGACCAACATGTCAAGAAACCCTAGCTTCGACAAGGGCATTCATTATCGTCGCGTTTTCGTTCAATTCGTTTCTCAAAAAATCGTACAGCGAATGCGCGTCGTAAGTAATACACAATTTCCCTGGCTGATACATTTCACCACCGTAATCGTCGTTCCTTCTGAGCATTGGAATGTGAGCCGCGCAGCCAGCAATCGAAGCGTCAGAGTGTCTCATGATTGCACTTGTTAGCGACGCGTTTGCGCGTAAACGCCGATCTCCGCTTCGAAAAGGATTTGATTAATCCTGAGCTTCGCGACGGACCTCGAGTAGGAGTCTGGGATATCCGCCAATTGGACGGCGATGCTCTCGGCGAATTTCGCGAATTCCTCTTTCGTTCTCTTCCGTTCGATCGGCGCGACTTCGAGGTTCATCTGGCCGGACTCGTCCAGGTCGCCGATCGGGCTGTTCTGGTCCTGCATCGAACCGTTGTAAAGCTTCAGCGCCTTCAGGCTCGACGAGGACGACTCCTCGGCGTCTTCGCTCAGCGAGGCGTTGAAGGAACCAGTTCCCGAGCCGTTCGTTTCCTCGTTACAGTCTATAAACGTTATGCTCTCGGGATCGATGTCACTCACTATGTACTCCTCCTGCAACTTCGGCGACTCCTCTTCGACTTTCTGCGGAAAGCAGACATTATTATTTGGCATTCGGGCGTCATCGATCGTAACTATGGCGGTGCGTTCGTGTATTGGCTAGCGAAACCCAGTTGTTTTTAACCCTTTACGGACACGTTGGGTCGTCCAAGGAATCGTCGACTTTTCGTTATTTAATTTTCTCCGCAGGGACGGGGTAAAATATAATAATTTCACTCTATAATTCAGATTCTAATTCTCATCCAACGATCAACGAATACAAAGTTGTTCAGTTTGCGATACCGTGTGAGAACGCTTTGTCTTTGATTTTCTAGCGATCTTGAAGACTCGAGGGTTCAATGTCTCAAAACTGAAGATTGTATGCAGATAAAATCACGTTTTTGTAAATAATTCTATGCACTTTTTGTAGCGTGGTTCGATTTAAATGATCGGCTGATCCCAAAAGGTTCCATGTGTTAGGAATTACAGCGTGCCTGTGGTTGGATTAATGCCCATGCAGAAGCGTGGTGATGGATTTACGTAAAAGGGATACCGCGAATAGTTCAATGCCGAGACTTTACGACCTTTTCTGGATTTATTAGCGTATTTGCACAATTCCATGATATGTATTTATTACGAATTTATTCAGACTGTACAGAGTGTTTAATACAATAACGCAGATCAACAATTTACAACCCCGCTTCTGATTTAATATTTGTATCAATTCAATACGTATCAATTGTGGCTTTAAAACAATAGTACGGCTAACGAATTTGTTTACAGCTATTATTAATTACAACTTATCGCATCGAGATGGGTACAGTTTGAAGGTCACGTTTATTTAAATTTATCTTTCATTTTATGTTCCACTATTTTTATTTAGAAGATTGATTGATTTTTATTGGAAGAATTCATTTAGTTTATTACTTTCTTATGAATATATGTAAGTAATCATTATTAACTATATTTTTTCGTTTAATTCTTGAAGAAATTCTAAAGTAACGATCGAAACATAGAATTGTTTATATTTGCATTATTGTATTATACTCTCCGGAAATTATAAATAAATATAAGAAGAAACACATTCCTTTATTTTTTACAATTAAAATTTATTTATTATTTATTATTATAATTAAAAATTTGGAATATTTCTTTTTATCTTTAAATTAAAAACAAAATGGTGGGCATGGAATAGAAGGAGTGAGAAACAACACGAGTGAAGAAAGAATGTTAGAGTAAATATAATTGTACAAAATGATTTTTTAAATTAATGAAACTAATTTAAACTAATTTTAAACTAATGAAGTCGTATAATCAAGAGAGATATTTACGCGACATTGGTTATTAATATGAGTGGCCATTGATATTAATACAATGATGAAATTTATTAACTAATGAAGAAACTGCATTCTGAATCATATCCATATTGAGTGTAATGCACGCTTCTCAGGTGTTGTAAGCAATTTTTATAATCAATATTATTATCTTTTCTAATTGTAAGAGTTTGCGTTAAATGCTAATCGTAGAATAGATTATACCATTCCCGTAAAAATGAATTTGCCTATAAAACTTCACCGGAACAGAGAAAACTCTGCAATCCAGACGATCATAATTACCCGGGATATAAACACAATCGAATCGAATCACGATTCAATCTAGTATACTCCGTTCACACGACTTGGGTACTAATCGCGTATTTCGATCTACAGGGAAATTTCGCGTTAAAACTTTCACGAGTACACATTTTCCCCCAAATAACAATGCCTGAATACATCAGATGCACGCTTAATTAAGAAGAAGTACACGCATTAAGCCGCTGCGCGTGCAATATAAACAAGCTTCGATTCTACTTTTGAAATTGTGCAATTCTACAATTACGAATATAATAATAAAATAATTTTTTATCGGTATATGAACCAATAAGAAGTAAAAGTAAAGTGTTAAATTTACGATTAAACGTATGAAATAAAAAGATAAACAATAAATAACGAACAAGACGAACCGCGAATTCGCACGACTCCATTTTCGTATGCAGCGTTAGAAACGCTTTGCAAAGACGATGCATCTTGCGTTGGTAATGCGTCGATATAATTCAATCGCTCCGTTAAAACGAAACGACAGAAAGAAGTTCCAATAGAAAGAGAGAGGAAAAAACGGAGACAAAGGCACTCAACGTCAAACGGACAAAGAGAACAGGACAGAGAGGATCAAACAAAAAAAAGGCGTAGTGTGCGAGAAAAAGTATGCGAGAATGATAAAGCCAGAAGAATGTCATCAAACGTATACGCATGGGTGCACGAATCGGACATGTTCTGAGATCGATTCGAAATAACACCCCGGTCAGACAAGACAAAAAGGGAAATTAAACGCAAAAAGCAATTAAGCGTGGCGGGTATGACACGTCGCTACGAGCCGACGAAATATGTACATATATCCTGGCAAGCGACGCATCGTTCAAGCGAGGCGGTCGTTTCCACGAAACACGTTCAGACACAATGGTCTTTCTCCGAAATCGGTTGGCCAATTACGCTCGGATCGTGTAAACTGGCCTCCATGCGACCAGAGAAAGGAAGGCAGCGCGACGTTCGGTCTACTTACGTTTGTTAAAACGAAAGGACAGACGTTCCACGAGTTTTCAGAGAATTAGAACCCCGCACAAGTAATTTCAAAACGTCGCAGAGCTGCATCGCATTCCTGCGAGTCGAACACGACACGTGGAAACGAGTTAATATCCGTTGCAACTGGGTTTCTCTCGCGACCGTTGCACGAACACCAGAAACGGAGCCAAATTTGTATCCGTAATTTCGAAACAATTTTTTACCAGATATTCGCCGAATAATAATTAGAAATCCATTGTATTTTACACTAAACGAATAAAAAATTTGTCCGAGCGACAGGCTCGATCGAACGAACGTTACGAACGGATCGGTAAACGCGTTGTTTCTCGTCGTCTGTTGTTCGAATAAAATTGTCCCCGTCTCTGTCGGAAACAAGGCGCATATCTCACGTACCTTCTTTCGTTTGCTGTATCTGCGTGTACCGAATTGAAGGAACTGCATCGCCTTGAACGCGAACCACTTCGACACGTAAACATCGTCGGGCCCGGTGGCGGCGTCGCGGCTGTTCTGTATCTTGTGCACCTCCCTCGAGTACTGGCACTTCAAGTTTGTGATTTTCTTCTCGATCTCGAGGGTGTTGCAGCAGAGTATCTCGGCGAGTTCCTGGATGGCGCGTTTGCGTTTCGCTCTGTCGCGATAGCCACGGGCGTTCCAGTCCCACAGGACGCGTCGTTGTTGATATTCGCGCAGCAGCTCGAGGGTCTTGTCGCGGGTCCACTCCATGCTGAGACGCGTGTCTTTCGTTTCTAGCTCGTTCCAGGCGTCGTAGTTAGACATGGAAATGCAAAGCGGCGGGTCGCTCGGGCCGCGCGAAGAAGTGGCGGCCACTGTGTGTTTTCGAAGGAATCGCGCGAGAGAGACGGAGAGAAACGGACGGACGGTCGTGTATGCAGCCGGCCGGTAGGTAGCCAACGAGGCGGGTGGGTACGCTCGTGTACCCGCTAATAAATCGTCGACTACGAGCCGACAACGATGCCGCAGCCGCGAATCGAGCACGCGTTTTAATGATTTTTGCGCGAGACCCGCGCGCGCTTGGTCGCCTTCCTTTCTTTATTTCCCTTTGCGGAAACCCGGCGAGAACACGAAGACGCCCGAGTCTGCGCGAACGAGCCTGCCCACCGTTGCACGCCGCATCGTCGAACGTATGAGCGCCAAGCAGTTTCATCCTTTCGTCTCCCCTCCCCGCCGGCCAACCGTCGTCACTCGCTCTCTCCCTCCCCCGCCCTTTCTTTCCCCCTTTCCCTTTCGTATTCCTTCGCGGCGGGCGTCTTGTACCTTCTTTGCGTTCCCTTCCTCTTTGTTTACCAAATGACCTTGCGCCTCGTTTCGTCCTTTTTCGTTCTTTTCGTCGGCTGCGGTTTCTACTTTTGTCCGTTCCCTCCTTTTTATCCCTATTAATTTTTCTCCATCCGCGCGATGTTTACCTTTGTGCTAATTATAATTTCCACGATCTTCCCGTTTCTATCGTCTTGCAGCGTTTCTTTGTTCCTTTGATGCGATTTGCTATTTCTGTTCGATGTACAGCGAGTCGACAAAATATTCGCACGGAAACGTAATACGCGAAATACGATGACGATACAACGGTTTTAATATATTTCTTTTTGTTAGAAATAAACGGTTTTAAGTCCTTAACTGATGGAGACATAAAATAAAACAACACAATTATATCTTGAATTAAACATTTAATAGAAATTCCTTCTTGTCTGTCCTTTGATTACTTGGTTTGGTAACGTTGGAAAATTCTCATCTAAATAACTATTGATTCCTTATTTGCTCAATAAAAGTTACAACTTGAATTATACAACCAAAAGAAGTGTTTATTTTTAAATAGACTATCATTTGCAACAAAATACAATTCTATTTGAAAACACAAACTTGATGTTCATGTGTCCTCTTACGAAAAAACTAATCATATAAACTATAACAGCATGACGAAAAATCTACAGCCTTAGAAATAGATTCTATTTACTTTTTTTCATTAATTGCAGTTACGTACGGTTTTCTTTTGATTTTTATACAAGTTACTTTGTAATACTCTTTTGGTGAGATTAATTATTTCTTTCTGTCTTTGTATTGTTTTACCTGTAACATTTGTATACAATATTTCCTATCTTATACAATTCACCATGTGTGCCAATATATTATTGACATAAAAACACATAAGGAACCGTTACAGTAAATCTTCATATAATTTTAAAACTTGTTTTCGTTATTTTATTTTATGTCTTTCTTCCAAGGATTTACACCATTTGTTTCTTAATGGAAAAATACTAAAATTCTTATATCGTTTTCTTCTTTCGCGTAGTTCTATCAAATTATCGCCTGTGTCAATGATTTTGTGACTCGATGTACCAACGTATTGGTGTCTCGCTCGGATTTATTGTTCCCCATTCGTATTCTGTCATCTTCTGACGCTCCGTACCTTTCTCTCGTTTTGCGTTCTTCCCTTAGCTTACAATTCCCTTGTCTTTGCCTGGCCTGTTATTCTCACAGTAATATGATTCCGTAGAAACGAACGCCATAAAACGGAATCACGGCACTGCACTCGAATGTATGTGATCACGCGCATTTCTTCGATTCACGCCGAGTCAGATTGTCGTGTGACGCGGTATCACACGATATCAAAAACATTTTCAGCGGAATCTTCTCGCTTGTAATTTTCTTTTGTCCCATTTGTTAAAATTTTTATCGCGTTACGTCGCTACTCCTGCTTCGGTCACTTTTTAAACTAAATTTGAATGTCAAGGATTCATTTTACACGATATTGATTTTGCCCTTCCTTTACAAAGAAGAAGTATATGCGCACTGCCGTTCAAAAGTATTTGACCATATATCCGTCACAACGCTAATTTAATTTCATTTACCAAACGAATGTATTTGCGTTGAACTTATATGCAACGTTAAAAACATATAAGCAAGCAAACAGAATTAAACATATTTTATTTCTTCAGAGCGCATAATACTATAACGCAGATTAAAAAAGAATTCCACTCTTCGACGTTTACCTTTGAATCTTCCTTAAGAATTGGACGAATTAATCTGGGTTATGACCGTCACATGGGAGCACTCTGGTAGTTTGGGCTAAAAATTGAGAATTCTTTATATTTTTTTTCTTTTCCACGTAATTGACCAGAATGAAAATTAACAGACATATATACTTTGTTTAATGTAGTAAAAGATCCATTTCTTAGCCATAAAGCTGAAATTAATGGATCTGTCTATCCGCGTTTAAGCGATAGTGCATTTCCACGCGAGAAACAAATTTTTCGCGTGCATATTCCACGCTCGCGTATCAATTTAATTTTGCTACGCTTCGTCCAGTCTCTTTCATTTTCAATTTTTCTTCCACCACCCCGCTCGCTTTCACTCAAGCTCCGTACTCTGCATTGTCCGGGCGCAATTGCATGTACGAAAGCGACGCGTCGCTGATGTGTAAAATCTCGGATGAGGCATTTTACGCAACTGTGTGCGTACGCGTTCAACTTGCACGTGCAACGATCATATCTTACGTGCATAGAAATTTGTATACGTACGATGTTCGACAAATCGTATGGAGCAGGCATGTCAAACACGCGGCCCCCTTGATCCTTCTCTATTTTTATCCCTTTAATAATAAAAGCTTTTTTCAATCAAAAAAAAAAAACAGTACCGAAGATTAAACGTTCGACACACCTTTCTCCAATTTCGAAAGTAACGTGCCAAGTATCTTAAAGAAAAAGTGAAATGTTGTCTGATAGAAAAACATCCTTTTACCGCACCTATGTCTATTTTTAAACAAATGTATCCTTTTCCTTCTTTCCATGGAAATTATTGCTTTTTTGTCACTCCTATATATTTTTGCTTGTGATATAACATAGTATCGATTGGTGTTCTAAAATAATTAGTATAATTGACCGTTATGAAATAATTATACATCCGTGGCAAAGCGGACATTGTACCTCGGGTAAAAATGAAGTTTGACGTGTCTGGTATCGGGAAATAAAAATAACTCGTACGTACCTGGATACGCAACGATGTGTCTCCCTGTCACCGATTGAATGGAATTGCTATCAACGGCCACTACTCGAAAATCGTGTCCCGAAATGGATAATCGAACTGGACAATTATACGCATTGGCGTTGATAAGCCGTAACAAATATTGCCTGTCTCGATCGACTTCCAAGACCGTTCCATTGCTCTGAAATAAAAAGAAAAGAATCATTTTCAAAGTTCGTTCCACCGTTTCCGCGGAACGCGATGTTTACGTTCAGCACTTTCGTGAGTCGAGAGGATGCTTTCATATCGTTGGCGTAATCTCTGTTATACAACATTGCGCGACGTAGACGGTTCTAAAATTCTTCAAATGCTTTTTAATGAAAGTTATGTTTAATAATCGCATTATTTGCAAATTTGTCGGAAGCAATTCACCGTGACGCAGGCTCGACGTCTCGTCTCGCTTAAATATTCCGGAAACGAGGGAAAGTAATATATTTCTGGCGTGTTTAATTCGCATCGTTTTTGAGTAATACGAAACTGAGTCGGGAGAAATCCTTACCCGGATAAAAATAATACATCGTGAAAACGAAACGAGTTTACATCTGTACGTCATAATTATTATTTTATTTTTATTGTATATAAATCCATACTCAATTATTGTTATACGTTATATACAATAAAATATCACTAACGATTTCTTTTGATCCTACAAACGTTTCCAAGCAAATCAATCGAAGAAATTGAACGGTTCAAAAATATTCTTTTGCATGTTTCGACCCTTCGAGCAAAGCCTTTGGATCCATCCCTGTGAACAGATTATGCGCCAAACAGCTACCATTATGAAGTTTACGTTTGACGAGCAAGTAGACATACTACTCATTTATGGAGAAACTCAGCGAAATTCAATAAGCTCACAAGCCTTGTATGCTGAACTGTATCCAAACTACATCCATCTTTCACGCCTCGTGTTTCAAAGGTTGGGTCAGAAATTAAGGACTGCCGGAAGTCCAACTGTAAGAAAACACGTAAAACGATAGAAGAAAATGATAACGAACAGAAACTGTATTTTTATCCGTCATCCATTGTTCGAATAAAATTTCATCCCTCCGGCGTGGACTTTACGATGAATCCTATAGAATTTTGTCAATTGACCTAACGACAAATAGAGACCAATCATGCATTTTTTTTCTAACAAATATCGTTCGTTTATGAGGCAACGTTCACCAATCACGGGAATGTAAATTTGCACAATATGCACTGCTGGTCAATCGAGAATCCCCACTGGTTACGCCAAATTGAACATCACCGACAATGGTCAATAAATATGTGGCGCTGTACCGTAAACGATGAAATATTTTGGTCATATTTTATCGACAGAACACAGACTGTCATTAACACTTTGAGTGCCACAGGTATTTTGAATCCAAAATATTCGCTGTCACGACAATCGAACATTCGCCACGGAATAAAAGGTACCAACATGATGGATGTTCTGCACATTAAGTACAAAAATCATCCTTGAAGACATTTTTTTTGAATCCAGAAATTATAAAAATCGTTACTCTGCCATTTTTATGCCCCTATAAATCTAAATTACCGTGTTATTATATTTCGTTGAAATTGTTTAAATAACCGTTATTATAATAAGATTACGAAGTATAAGGTTCTATTTAAAAATACAAAGTTGACTTTGAGAACACCTCTATGCTCCCCACCCCTTCCAAAAAAAAAAATTAACTCTACCATAATATGTCCCTCTTTATAACCGTATAACTTTTGTATATAACATATTTTTCTATAACTAAAAATAACGGAAATATTTCAGGTAAAAAAAGTTCTTGCCTTACCCTGTATACGTCATAAAATTATTGACTTAAAAATATCGTGTATACGTATTGATAGGGTTAAACAGAATCTAGATATATGTTTTTTAACGAAGATAAAAAAGGTATTCCGCGAAGAGTGGAATTCTCTACTAATTATGTTGCGCCATTGTATACTCTGACCCTGGAATTATAATAATGGAGTACTGCATTCCCCATTCATTTTTGTTTTAGCTATTTCTGAGAGATATTATTTACTTTATTTACTTACATTTCGTTATTTATGTTTTTTGGTATTCTTAATAGAAAATATAATTTCTGGCCAGAAATGCTTCCTCGAAATTTCATGCAAATGTTTAAAATATTATAACTTCTGAACGGATTGGAGGATTTTAATGTTTCAAAAGGCAAACAACGCGTATTTTAGTGAAGAATATGTAGAAATTCCAAGAATATTCGAAAAGTTGTTCCTTGACACCGTAAAGTGAGGAAAACCCCATAAAAATGGCCCAATCTTCAGACGTGCATAATTTCTACAATAGTGAACGTATCTCAATGAAATTTAGTATGGAAGTGGAGCTCATAGATACCTACAAAAAAGTACTAAACAAAATTTCCGTAGGACGTCAAACAAATTTATCAAAAATGATAAACGAATTTTTAAGAAAAATTACAGGGGTGCCTAAATTTTTCGGCGAAAAAAAAATTTTAAATCATTTAAAAAAAATTATTTTTGGTTCCGGGAGTCAATTACAATCATTTTTGATGAATACACATACCCTCGAAATCCTACACACTTCCGAGAAAAAAATTCGAGTAGGTGGATTTTGTCGACAAAATTAAAAAATTTCAAATCGTTCTGGAAAAATTATTTTTGGTTGCGCGGGTCAATTTCAATCATTTTTGGTGAATACACATACCCTCGAAATCCTACGCACTTCCGAGAAAAAAATTCGAGTAGGTGGATTTTGTCAACAAAATTCAAAAATTTCAAATCGTTCTGGAAAAATTATTTTTGGTTGCGGGGGTCAATTTCAATCATTTTTGATGAATACACATACCCTCGAAATCCTACACACTTCCGAGAAAAAAATTCGAGTAGGTGGATTTTGTCGACAAAATTAAAAAATTTCAAATCGTTCTGGAAAAATTATTTTTGGTTGCGCGGGTCAATTTCAATCATTTTTGGTGAATACACATACCCTCGAAATCCTACGCACTTCCGAGAAAAAAATTCGAGTAGGTGGATTTTGTCAACAAAATTCAAAAATTTCAAATCGTTCTGGAAAAATTATTTTTGGTTGCGGGGGTCAATTACAATCATTTTTGGTGAATACACATACCCTCGAAATCATACGTATTTTCGAGAAAAAAATTCTTTACCGAAAATATACTGTGTGGCCGAAAATGTTTCTATAATTTTTTAAAGAAACCTCAATCAACAAATTAGTATCCTTGAGTTTTCCCAGGGGTGGCAGAACACCCTGTATATAAATGTAGTATTGCAGAGTTAATAATTTTTTCAAATTCCAAGGAGAAATGCTAAATATATCATTTGTCTATAAACTGCAAGTAATTTTCATATCCTAATAACGAAAGAAAATAGTAAAAAAATAATTATTATACGCGGCGTATTAAAATTTTATTATCGGTATTCTTCGTGTATGTAAATCGTTGATCGTGTTCGCTTGTTCAGTTCATCAATTATTTTTCGTGTTCATTTGTAACTCCCCGTGTCTCTCCGTTATCATGTAATTAGATAAATCAGTACCTGGCCGTTTAAGAGGAGTTCACTTGGCGTGGGTGGATGTAGGTGCGAATGCCACGACAGCAGAGTTGGTGGCCTTGATGACAAGAGAAGTATCCTTTCCAAGCTGGGGTCATCTTGTGGTCCTCGAACTGTCAACGACCCGTATACGCCGTCGCCCTGCTGTGAAACTAATAATCCCGCCCTATTATACCTTCGTTATTTCCATGATCAATGGAAAGTTTCATAGACGACTACTTCACGACCACTTTCAAAGTTTAAATTTCTTAAAGGACGATCATTTATATTCAAAAACGAAAGCAAGCAAACGAGTAACTTTCATTATTCAAATAGAATATCATCCGCTGGATATTGACAACATTTAATTCGATTAACAAATAATTTAATACACATAATATCAGAATAACGGAACAATAATTTATTTATAAGTAACGAATACATTCGTATTTGGGTGGCAATTTGTTCGAAAATAGTTATACAGACAATTGTTTACTTAAACAATTATTAGAATTATATTCTCAGTTCATGCGAAATAAGCCATTCAAGTAGCAGGCTTAGGTACATTTTATTTGAAATAAAATGACAAATAATAATTTGAAATAATGATTTGAAAAACATTATTAATTTTATTTTATAAATAACATAAGAAAGCTAACTTTATTTCGTATAAGATATAAATAAATTATTTTCGAATAATTTATTATTTGAGTTAATTCGCTTTAATAGAACGACATATTATATGTGTTATTATGCATTTATAAGTATTTAAGCAGGCATTGATTTTATAAGTACTGACTATGACAAAAGAGAAATAAGCTGCAATGCGACAATTATGTAACAAATATTAAGTGACCGTTATTAGTATCGCGGAAATTTTTATTTTCGTTTGTAATAGAATTTATTCGAATGGAATTTTATTCCATATTTGTGGAATACGCGAATAAAATATAATTCGGTTGTGAATATGTTAACGGGAACATTGATTCGTACGGACACGCGTGCGCACGATATTTGACGTTCAACATTATTTATAAATTTTAGTTTTAATTTATATTTAAAAACGCAAATACCGCAATTTTTAAATAGCCCGATTAGTACTTGTCCCCTGAGTGTAAGTTAGTTGTTCGAGCAACCTTAAAAGTCAACGCGTATATTCTTTCAATTTTATTGATCTACCTCAATCTTGTTTTGCTTGACTATGGCGCGGCTTCAAACGATGTTCGAAAATAGGTATCGCATACCGATACGTTTGCATAAAATAATTCCATATTTCGTACAGCGTTAAATCGATTTTTTATACTAATTTTTATATTGCAATCACAACGTAAATGAAAATTAACTGTTTCATTATTGAAAGTATTTCAAATTACACAAAAAATGAGTACTTACTTATTTAATAAATGTTACTTTTTCGAGTTTGCGATACACCATAAGGCTTTGTTTTTTTAAACAGTAGATGTTTATGTTAATATCCAACTTATACATATACTCTCACTCTTAAAATGAAATATTCTAAAAATAAATTTCATTCTAAACGATCTGACATAAGCAGAATAAACAATATTTTTAATTAATTTATTTGTATTTAACGTATTTTTAACAAGAGAAGAGAAGAAAAGAAAGAAAACATTCCATAAAAACGTAGAAAATGATATAATTATGAAGAAAATACTTTTTTCTAATTTTGTATGGATTTAGCAAAAATATGTCGAAGTACCTGAGCATCTATGGTTGATGGAGATTTCTTGTTACATTTCATTCTACTTTTCTTTTTTCCAGCTACACAACTAGGATATTTCACTCTAACACAGCAGGAAAGAAATTTAAATATAGTTATTTGTAAGAATGACATTTCTGGCATTTGCTAGATATCACACCTTCTTTCAAACACTGAGAGAACGGGAAGTTGATACGTAACCTAACTTCTACGCGGTTGCAAGATTATTGATCTACTTTGATTTTACCGGAAGTAGAAGTCGTTCTACAGCGCGGGAAATTTGTAATTGATTCGAACCAAATTCAAAGCATAATGTCTAAACAATTATTTAGTAACTTTAAAATAAAGTTAAAACAACAGAACAGTGACATTACATTTATTAAACTGTGTTTATAATTTACTGTATTTTTATATTTACTTATATTATTTTATATTTAGATATGAATAAAACAACGGTAGTCAAATTCTATTAATAAACTGTTAACAATTTTTGCCTACGTTTAGCATTATCGTTTATTTTTAATAGATATTATTTAAAATAAATTATTATAAACTGATATATTGATAATTAAATGAGATGAATATTTTACAATTTCAGAGAAAATAGTAATAAATTTGAACCTGCTAGTAACATTTAATAGGTCCTTCAATTTTGAATATTAAATCCTCATTTTTTTTATTGTTATATCGATGAAAGAATTAATGGTATTAATATTTCTTTAGTCAATTTGTTTGTGTGTTTTAACCTTCTATCCACATAATGTTTCGTGTTATATATTATAAATTGTTTTCGAACTAGTTAAATTTATTTAAAAACGAGATTTCCTTACCTAAATACGCATAATACATATATGTACCAGCAGCTTTTGGTTTTAGTTTGTATCGAAAACCGCCAAATGGTAATATCGAGCATTGCGTGACCATAGACACCCCGTCCATATGAGAGGAACCCTTTTGTTGCAGTCCATGCCAGTGTAAAGATAGTTCCTGGGATCCTAATCTATTATACAAAAATACTTCGATTGTGTCTCCTAGACAGATCTGAAAGTTGTGAAGTAATTTAACAATAAATAATTAACCTACGTTCGATAAGACTTAATCTAAAGAATTATCTTAAGACTAAAAATATTTTCTGTTTCTATTTATATACATTCAATATAATTTAATATTTTATTCAGAATTTTCTCGTTCGTTCGTAAATTCATTAGGCCGTGATCACACTTCAAAGCGATTTCGCATGAACCTGTGATCGCTAGCAAGGTCATATGAACACTCGGGTAGTGTTTTGTTTCAACGACCTACGTTAGTGGTTCTTAATCTTTTTTTTCTATGGATTCCTCTTGGCACTCGAATGAAATTCATGGATCTCTTTCTCATAACGTATTAAAACATTAATTAAATCAATGTTTCCGAAACCAGTGCTCTGTTAAATAAGAGTTTATATTAGACAGATATATTTTTAGATATTAACAAATGTTGGCATAATAGGCTTCAAGAAACATTTACAGTAACGTATGTAACAAAAGTAAATATTTAATAATTCCTTGTACAAATCTATTTATGGTTCCCTAGTGGTCCGTGAAGTATAGGTTAAGAACCACTGACCTACGCCAATAGGTCGCTGAAATAAAACTACTTACCTATCCTTTTGTGCAACGACAGTGGCGATCGCCAGTTGGCGCGGAATCGCTTGCAATGTAACTGCGGCCTTATATTAGACGAAAACCAATCAGATACTTATATACAATACTTATAGCCAATAAGTGTTCGTTTTTCAAAACGTTTTGGATTCGAATAAATGCTGATCAACTATAAGCACGAGTTTCCTTTATCCTTGTATGAGCATTTTTTTGTCGAACATTTAAATATTTATATACTCTTAACAGGAATGAATAAAAATATTTAAAAAATTTTGCTTTACCTCTATTCGAGGTCCTGGACTCTTTCCATTGATTCCCAAAAAGCTTCCCAGTAGAGTCACTTGATTGCTGATCACCGATTCGCCCTTGATTGTCGATTCGTTGCGAGTGCTGTAAGTGGCAATAACAATCGCGCGGAACGTATGGTGTGTATTTAAAAGATCTTTTTGTTTCGTATTATGATCACGTTCAACGGAAGTGTCTATTTATTAAATTTATTCGCGACAAAGATCAACATCGATTGGTATTGGTCGTGAACAAAAATGGAACAAAATCGACCGTGCAATCGATCGAAACGTTAACGATTTAACGTCCGAGGAACGCGCCTCGAACTTGACCGTGAAGAAAATCGCGATGTTAGTCACTCTTACGGTACGGGATTCGCACGGAGTATATGATGCTATTATACAGCTTTACTGTCTACAGTACAGGTGAACGCGTCTGTGGTGGTGTCAGAACCTGTTGGAAATTGTAAAAATCCAAGATGCACTCTGTAACCAAGCGTGTCAACCGTTACCTCGTGGATTACACTGGAAATTACACATTTATCCGACTAACGCGGGAATTGGCCGAGATTCCGACCGGATCTCCTTTGTTAGAATATACGATATTTAAATTTCATACGGGGTGCTAAGCTTTCGTCTAAGAATAAGCAGATATTGTATCGTTAGATAATTAATATCCCCTCGAATCAGCGTTATTGGTTTTCGAAGTATAATTTCGAGACACGAACGAGGGTTAAACTAATATTTTATTTATGCTAAATTATGAAAAGTAGACATGTACTCATTAACGATACACGTTGAAACTACCGTTGAAGAATTTTTTGGGCGGTTATTCACTTCCGGGAATGTAATGTTGTATTAATCACAGTAATGAGTTCTTGGATTTCCGTCTCACCTGATTGTGGTAGGTAATTCACTGACGAAGAAATCGTAGCGGCATAACTTTTTCGAGGAAACTTCGTTGACACAAGGACGCAGACATTCGTGATATTGATCATCTGATTTTCAAAGAAACAAAAAATAATTAATTTACAGCTACTATCAATAAAAAAAATTCACGCTTTCAAGCAACAATTTTACTACTTTCTATCGCTTTGGTAGAAACGTTCAACACCTTTCGAATATTCACAAATTGTGCAACATAATAGAAAGTAGAAAATCTTGACAAAAAATGTGAAATGTACGTATATTTAGCATTTGATAGTATATCATAAAAAATTAAATTTATTCAATTCCTTGATAATATTATTCGTTGAAATATCAATTACATTCAATTAAGTATGTACAATAATAGTAATTTGTGCGATAGCGACCGGCGTGTTGGTCGTGAAAGATAAAAAAACGCATTTCGACATTCACTATTTTCACATTGCGAATGCATTTGTATTTTTTTTTTTTTTAGCGGCGTTGAGGTCAATACACTTATGAAACAAATTGTGCCAAGTGAACATTTCTAGTTTTGTTTAAATAACTGTGACCGTTTCAAACTTTAAAACTATTTCCTCCGCGAAAAATAAATATATTTCCTCACCCCGTGTTTGAGATCTTGAAGTCTTTAGTAAAATTAAAAGAATGACAAAAATCGTAAAATTGCTGAACCACAACATCGTGGCCCAAAAAAAATCTGAATAATGGTAAAAGTTTCGTTAATCTATATCGATTGTAATGTTGCCATCGCGAAACACGAATCAGCGATGACCCGAAAACACTGCGATGTTACGCGGTTCACGATCAAACGACGACTTGGATGAACCTATCTCGGTTGGTGAAAGCAAGGCCTAGGCTAGTCCTAGTTACGCAAGTTGCATTCGATGCAGATTTGGTTTTTTTCCTTTCGTCGGAAGATATAATGTTCACGTAACTCATATTGGTAAATTATAACAACGCTTCCAGAAAATCGGCACTCGGTTTTGTGGATAGCGAATAAACGTTACACAATCTGTTCCTTTCACTTTATTTAAAAAATACATTCATTCTTCGGACTGAATGTAGTGGTTTGATGTTAAAAAATATTACAACGACATAATTATCTATGTAGGCAAAACTGTACAGACGGTTTGCATGTACAAAAATATTTACAAAGTATCCATCATACTGGCTGCATCTAAAGATAAACGATCGATTAATTTAATTTTTAATTCTTTTTCACGTACAACATGCTCTACATTTCTTTTCCTTTTCCAAGGAATTTAATGATATTATACGTGCAAAAGTTCAATATTTATTGCATTGATAGAATTAAATTTGAACGCGTTATTGCAGTAATGGTAATAAGCGACTTCAGCGAACATCGTAATAAATAAATTAATAGTTGTAGTGTCCATGAATGAGACAAACCTATAATATTCTGAAAGACATTAGAATTTAACTAGTGACGCATCCTGCACTCATGTAGATATTGCTAAATTAGTTTTATAACATTCTAAACTGCACAATGGTACTCCAGTCTTTGAGCACGAATATTTTTTCGGATTTTTGCATTGATTTACGCCGCAAAGGAACTGCTTTGGAGGGTCTTTTCTGAAAAAAGAATAATAACAATGTAATAAGCTCGTTTTGCATTTTGAATTACTTTTGCTCACCCTTGTGTAGGCTGTAATGGAAAGTTTTCTCCAGGGGGCAAAGATATCGAACTTCTTTCGAGCGTTAAACGATATGTAATTAAAGGAACTTGTCTTCTGGAAGGTTTTCCTTTACTAATGACTTTAGAAGCTTTGGACTCCTGTTTCTTCAATAATCTTTCCATTGTTTTTTTCTATGAGTATAACGGAAAATTGTTCGCATGTGTTACATTTATGTCAAAAAGAAAATTGAATTACCTTATCTTTTTCACGTTTCTCATCTGCAAGTTGTTTCCTTTTTAAAGACTTAAGAGCAGCTTTCTGTATGGCTTCCGCCGTCATAACTTTTTCTTTATATCCAGTTGGTAAAGACATAAGCTGCTCTACGCCCGGATTTGGTTCTGTATCAGTTTTTCTTTCAAACATAGCCCTTTGCCGAGCCGTCATTAATTTTGGATCCTTCGGTTTAATTTTTTTTAATTCATCGTCCACCTACAATAAAATATAAGAAATTTATAACGAATAAATATTACCAACATTAATTATCATTTATTATTTTGAGGAAGGCATTTATCAATTAGCTTCTATTGATATTATTTGTGCTTATTACCTCTTCCAGTTTACCAGATTCTATTGCATCAAGCCATCGTTCCTCTTCACTACTAGTACCGCTATCTTTACCTTTATTACCTTTTGGTACCTTTTTCTTTGTTGTGGCTTTTGGTGATGGTGCTGTACTTGAACCCGCGACACTAAGATTAGATGACTTTATCACTTTCTCGCGAGGTTTCTCTAAACTATAAAATAATATTAATATTATTTACATATACTTCTAAATACTTTTCTCAAAATGATATAAAACAATAATATTTTACTTACCCTTTATCATCATCCTTCTTCATTTTAACTCTAAATGTCTTCTTTTTCTCTGCTTCGACAGCAACATCATTAAAATTATCGCTCTCATCGTGTGTTGGTTTCTTCTTTTTATGTTTCTTATGTTTATGCTTCTTGTGTCTTTTTTGAGGAGATACCTCATTAGTTTCTAGAAGAGGTTGAACGTATATTTATTAAAATCATAAGCGATTATGTAAAACTGAACATAAATACACATTTGAATTTTTAAATTTCCCGCGAAATACATTTTTGTGAAGTGCCATTGTGATTATTTGCTGTTGAGGTTGCTTCATTGAGTCGACTATCTCAAGTGTACTTTACTAACCCCAGCGACGAAATTAAAAGAAAAGAATATTAATAAATTCGTTCATCACTTCGTAATATGAATATTAACCACTCAATATGTAGAAAAGCGTACCTACAGTTATATCTTCATCTGTGCTTATGTCTTTCATCTTACCCATTTTATTGAAAAGCTGATCCGCTTGAACTGTCAGTGGTAAAATATTGTAGATATGGCGTGTGGTAGTATAAACATAAGTTAATTTCGCCACTATTATGTTGGTATACGAGCTACAACGTTGGTAAACATGGAGTATCAATTTAAATTTCAATTATAAACGTACACTTTTAAAAAAAATAAAGCAATTATTTTCTTCGTGAAATGCGTTTGAATTTATTATCGGGCAACGTCTTTTTCCAGGTACTTAATTAATGAAATATAATGCCCTCAACCATAAGAACAATACATTTATTTATGTGATTTGCATTTATTTGCACAAAATAAAATAAATTAATTTCATTTTAAAACTAATATAATTTTCTTCGAAATTTTACACAACTATCAATAATTTTCAAAACAGTTCTATACATAACGGCCAAAAATATATATGTATTGAAAATTACATTGTTTAAAGCTAATTTTATGGAAGATATCTATACTATCTAAATTGCAAGATTCATTTACAACAAAGTTATTTAATTATGTAACATCCCAAGTAACAAATAAAATAATTGTTGTTTTAACATACATATTACATTAATTAATTGTAATTTGTACATTAGAAACAGAAATATATTGATGTCACGAATTATAAAATTAAAATAATACATTCATAAAAAAAAATTATTGCATTTTATAACCAAAAAATCATTTCAAAATAAATACTTTATATGCGATTATTATACACTATTTTTATTACGCAATTCCAATTTCCATATCACAGTAACACTTATTAACACTCTGAATTACATATCCATATGTATAATTTTAATTATTAATTTATTTTATTATCATAATTCTAGACAATAAGAATATTTCTTTAATATCATATATTTTATGTAATTAAATTCACTTACTCAGGACAGATAAATATTTATGTATTCCATGTCGATATTTTTATTTGCGTCACTATTTTATTTATTTATTATGCATCTAGCAAGTATTATTTGATATTTTCCTTGACATTTTGCAAAAATACCCTGTTCTCCAGATAATTATTATCTCAGATATTTAATGGCCCCACTTTTTGCAAATTTATTTTTCTCAAATAAATTTTGAAGAAAAATATATTGCAAATCAGTCTTTTTCTATCAAATATGCACACAGATACAAATAATATTTGTTACAGCATGAATTAACACATTATAAATGTTACCTAAATATGCAACGAAAACTATAATTTAATACATTTTTCATAAAATAGTACTGAATGTAATATTATCATTACTTTTTTTTTTTTATAACAGTTACAACATTAACTATACACGGAGCAGGGTTATTTTTATTCGGTAGATTAAACTTGATATTTCAACTTCGTGTAGTACTATACCATTTGATACTTTATTTTTGCCTTTGGATAAGATATTTTGGCAAATCTGCAAATTCGCAATTGATGTCATGTACATGTATTTTTATTATATACAGTTTCAAAAATTTAGGCAAATGCAATGCCTGGAAGTGTGTGGATTGAAATATGTTTTGCTATTTGAGCAGCAATGAGTTGACATTTACAAAAACAATAAGTATTGTTTTTGTTTTCGATTTATGAATTGAATAAATGAAAGAAATTATTCGAAAAATTCATGAGATACTCGATTCACCCGGATACAAGACAAAACTTTCTGTATATTTTTAAATATCTGTAAAACGGAAACGTTGCTGGCTTGCACAATGTAGTTAGATTAGAAATTTCGTCGATTTAATAAGTGGACCATGGCTACCCTATGTATTTTGATGGGACGTACTAGTTTCCTGAAAGAAAACATAAATAATCAGTACAATTTTTAATTCACTCTTGACGACAACTAATTCTATTATTTTACATATGAAAACATGTAATTTCAACAAATGTTAAAGCTCGTGTCGGTTTTACCTGACTACAAGGAGGCCGCTAAAACTGTGCTCTACCATGAGGTTGAAAAATTCAAGCAGCAATAACATTTTCATTAACATAATATATATTGCATTTAGCTTAACTTACATATTACACAATTTTATTAACTATAATCGGTTTATAATAAATATGAAATATGAACGACACTCACTACCTACAATTTCAAAATTTTCCTTATATAAAATTATAGGAACTTAAATTTCTTTATGTTATCAAACCTTGTATTTTTTTCCACATTGCTATAATGTATACGCATAAATATCGTCTTGTATTCGGGAGAATAAAATATGTGGATTTTTAATTTTTGAATTTTTTAAATTAAGGAATAACAGACAATCTTTGCATGATAGTTTTCCTACAGCGAAATGACTGTAGGTATGAAACTGGAATACATATGGTCCCTTCATTAAATGTAAGATTTTGCACCATATTAGGAAAAGTATGCTATATCAGTTTGCAGTGTTCGCTGAATTACAACATATTTGTTTTCATAAATTGAAGTATGTAAGTAAAGTAAAAAGCATTAATATGAGAAAAAAAAAATGTACCACTTTTGGAATGATGTACAGAAATTAACACAAAGCTTATATGCTTATAAAAAATTATTATGTTGTTTGTGATACAGGACCTATGTTTATATAATTTCGAATAACATTGAATTGTATCTGACTGATATCATTTTATATACTCTGTTGTAGTTATTTTACTGGCAGTGTTTACTCCACAGCATCCTTTAAGCAGTTCAATAGAAATTTCCCAGTTGAAAAATGCAAGCAAACACACTTTTTATGTTATTAATTTATTGGCATATATAGTTATTCTGTTTTGTAAAAAAATGATATAAACATGTTGAATTTATAATAATGCTAGTGATAGTAGTAGTAATAAAAAATATTGATAACTGCAATCTACTAATGCAAATACTAATAATAGTAGAAATAGTAATAATAATCATAATTGTATAATAGTAATAACTATAATAATAATAATACTTATAACAGGTAACAATGCAGTCCTATGTTGTGCAAGTTTTTATACAATTTATTATTCTAAATAACTGCTTAAAAGTTGTCATAGAGTATCAGATAGTAAATAATTCCATCAATCACAGAATGGCAACTTCGACTTACTTCTGTTTTTACTTCTGACACAAACATTTGGCACATAAATAGTACTCGCGTCTCTGTTTTCTTATGGACACTTATTCTCAAATTCTCAATATGAAAATAAGAAAATAAGAAAACGATTCTTACATTTTTCGTATTACTCTATATCTTATTGCAATAAGTATGAATTAATTCAAGACGAACTTGTCATTCTGTTCGAAATCAAAATTATCGGCAAATGATCCCCGGATATGTAAAATAATTAGGATGTATAGCTATGTACCAAGAAAATATAAAAGTGTGATGCGAAACTTATCGGTAGACCATCGTACAACCGATCCTAACGATATTGTTCGTTTATTGTTGTACGAGAAAGGGAAAGAGACACATATATACATATGAAATATATATTCATACGTATGTATGGAATTTTCTATGTATCTCCTTTTTCACACATCTTACTTTATATTGGCTCGCGTCTTAAGGGCGAGGACCAGAACGGCGCTAAAGGTCGCGGGATGGGAAGAGGTAAGAGGGGCTAGGTTGGGTCAGTTGGTGTTTTGTTTGTTGGAGCGAAGGCGAGCCAAGCCTGAACGCTCACCCTCTTCTTCGTCTGATGTACAGGGTGGCGCACCACTGACCGCACCACGCGAGGATGTTGCTTGCATTAATTCTTGGTCAGGACCATTTCGGTGTTCATATAATAAAATATTTAATGTCTCTTCGTAAATTCTGGCCTCTGGAAACTCAACCTACGCGTCGTGAATTAAAACTTTACTCTTTTTTTTCACATTCAAATTAAGGGATTCTTCTGATTTCGAAGTTAAATAGAATAGATTTCTCTTCACAGTTTCTAGTCTTAAAAACACGTACTCGAAATGTTAGATTGGAATTGAAAAAAATCGAAACGCAAATGATCTACAGCGAGATCCGTTATAACAAGACATGATCAAGTGTACGCGTGCCCGGCGAAAATTCAAAGCCGATTTTCTCGAAAACAAAGCCTCACATGAAAAATTTTTATTCCATAGACTTATTTTTTCATGTAGAATCACTCCCTTTTCGCTTGTAACACCAGTTATCGAACACCCTGTATATAGAGATTGACGATTACAGTTGAAATGAGTAATCGTTAATTGATCACGACGATTGACAATTGAATGAATTATTTCAATCGTCAGTCGCCTAAAGCAATTAATTTCAGTAATTTACTAATATTAATTAATTAATTAGTCGATCAATGCGTAATTCTACTTTACTACAGATCGCAAATCGAACTGTCGTGTGTTTAGTTGCTTTTCAAAACTATTTTTTCCGAGCTGGTATTCCTAAAAACTGCGACACAATGACTTAATTTTCACGAGATTTGGCATTTTGTTTATTTAAAAACGCGTTTCATTGTTTCTGTATTTGAGAAAAAACTTATGAGAAGATGTTTCTTTTTAGCATTCTAGACCAGAGGATCCCTTAATATCATTTAACATTATGCCATATAAACTTTCATAGTTAACAGATACAGAAGTCTTAGTATACATAATTTAATGTTACCTTTGTATGTTTTTTGTCGGTTGTATATACAATGGAGTGGCAACAAACTTCTGCAATTTTTCGGCCATGACCATAGAATGTCCAACAACAAATTTCACTGGAGCCGATTACATCTTTAATAAATAGCACTCTACCGCTGAATCTAAGGGACATTTTGTCGAACAATTCTATGTTTTTTAACAGATTGTCATCTGACGTACTGCAAAGACAAGGCTTTTTATATATATTTGTTCTTTGCTTCACTGTGCATCGCAATTTCTAAGAAACGGGTAGTATCACCTTGTGTATGAATATTTGTTATTGTGCCTATTAATGAGCAACTTCACTACTGGTTTAGTAGTGTTGCTAATTAACAATTGCTCTTCTCTTTGAGAAGTGATAAGCGGAACCCTACAAATAGGTTCTGCTTCTCTCTCCTTTCGAAGAAGCGCTTGTTCACATGATTCAGCCAGTTCGCTGATGCAATAAAATTTTGCCTCTGTGAGTAGTTCTGCCATTTCTTTTGTGCTCTCCGGTAAAGGAACCGAGCCGTCCCTTAAGAAATTCAAGATTGTTCCAAAATGTTTACCACACCTGTCTATTAATACCCACCCTGTGAATAAAATTCATAAGGTTTAAATACAAAGTACCAATTATTTTTGCACTTTATATTATACAGTAAGACCCCAATTAATGCTACCCTGTTTAACGCTGTTTCGTTATAAGGCACTTTCTATGAAATATACACGTTCGGTTATTAAATACATGTAGTTGTAACCATGTGCTACGCAGAAAGCGCTTCTTTTACATAGCCAATACAGTGGCCAATTAGTAGTGATTCTTTTACCGAATCTTTTCTTTAAAACCAATTTATCAAAGCGCATGCTAATCTACGACACTGCCCTTCTAGATGTGACCATTGCAGAGCCATTCGTAAGCTGCTTCATTTTTATCGTTAAATCTGTATAATATTTTCCAAAAATTTTTTTTTGTTATCCGATTTATACCAACATTTACTTGTATTCTGGAGTTTCCTTCAGATTCGTATTATCCAATAGTTTTACTGTGGTTTAATTGAGCGATTACCGCGAGTGGACACGATGTACACAATGTCTATAAAAAACAGTGATAGTAAAAAATCAAAGATTGAAAAGAAAAACAAATCCCTGAATATAAGATTACAAATGTTAAGACGGTTAGAATTAGGTGAATGTAAAGTTGATATAAAGTAGGTGCTACTTTAAGTTCAGCAGTGTCTATTATTGTATAAGAGTGTTTGTGTTTTCATCTATCAATATTTACATAAGGTTAAAATGACCCCGCTTAGCGCTCTAAATCTTAAGAATGTATCCTAAGCGTCAAGCGGGGCCTTACTGTACAAGAAATTCTATACATAAATATTAAGGAATCATATTCATCTTTCATATATGTAAAAAATAATCTTTCGTTACGTGTTTTTGAGTACAGGTCTTCTTAACAAGTCACAGAACATTTTGACGTTTGAGATGCTACGAATTGTAAATAATAGAGAACAATATAATGGTAAAATTTAACATTTATGAAACATCTCACCTTCTGAGTCTTTGCGAATTTCCATATGACCACTAAACATAGCACGTAGCATAGTGTCATGTTTTTGGAGTGTATCTAAAGTTGTGTAGTGTAAGGAACCGCCGATATTGAGCTTGACATACTCCGAAGGATACTTAATTCCCGCTTTATGATCTCCAGACATAACGAACGATAACGACGAAATATTGATACAGTTAGATAATAATAATAATAAATGTTGAAACGAAAAAGAATATTGATTTTGTTAAATGTCAAACCCAAATTATAATAGAGAAAGAACGAAGCGTTGGAACTATCGGACAACGTAAGTAACAAACGATAATCAGTACGAAGATACTTTATGTAGCATTTATTAGCCTCATCTTGAATGTTAAAACCTTACTAAACGGCACGATACACTGGTCTTTTATGTCTTATGATTCGATGAAAAAAATACACCCTATCGTACCCCCATTTTGGTGAGTGACTAGCATGAAGAAACGAAGACTAGTTTGTAATACGCGCAGGCGCGACTAGCCGAGAGCAATCGTTTGTTTATTTAAGAAAATGGCTGACTCTTTGGCAAAGTATGGGATTTACATTGATGATTTAAGTAAGATCCGTGTATTAGAACCGGAAGTGGCGAATCAAACAAACAAGCTCAAAGAGGAATGCCGGAATTTCATTTCGAGTGAGTTTTACGGAAATCATTGTAATTACACAATGTAATTTGCATTTATTTGTTGTTTTGGTATGCGTGACTACATTACAAAAGAGTTATGACGAGGCTTGTCACTTGGCTTACCTCGTTATCTTTTATTCTTCGTAAATTCAATAATTGTTCAATATGCTTTGGCCAAAACAAATGCATGCACATGCTTGCTGATAGTAATTACTGCCATCTACATAGGTTGCCGCCTTCGGATGGAATCTTAACCAACGTTTCAAAATGAATGTCTCATATTACAATTTGAAACTTTTCGTGTATTATTAAGCACTCGAACAGAAGTATTTGCATTACGTATATAATTTTCTATTTCATTATTGTTATCATAAACATTTCTACAACTTATGTATCAGATTTTCTTCGAAAGCAATTTTATTTCTAAAAAAATATTTCCAATCAAAATTTATTATGTATGAAATAAAAAAAATTACTTTTTACCTTTTGACCGTTTATTTACAGGGCGAATCTTTACTGTAAAAATCATGAAATCTTTTTGTTTAATATAAAAGGCATACTTTATTCTTAATGAATTTGTAAAATAAGGAAATGCTATTAATTTATTATTTTAGTTAATAATATATACGTATATCGTATTTTCTTTCTCAGAAATTACCGAGTTTCAAACGAATTCCGATGAATTTATACAAATAATAGACCGATTAGCGAACGAAGTGGAGAAGGAAAAAATGAGAACGATTGGAACCCGAAATTTACTTCGTTCTGTGGCGAAAGAAAGAGATGCTCAAAAGCAGCAGATTCAGGTTATTATACATATATTAAACGTATACGCACGAGAAAAGAAAATAACGAAATATTCGTAAAAATGACTTAACACATTAAAGACCGAGATCGTGTTATTGCTTGATTCGATTTGTATCACGAAAGCGTGAGCTCGTAACTGTATCTTGAGTAATATGAAAATATCTAATTATACATATGTCATATATATTTTTTTTCCTGTAAAAAGTATAGAAATAATTGTTTATGAAATATGAATTTATTTATGAAATATATGTACACATGTTCGATATGTTTTTTAAAATTATGATTCTTATAAACATATGTTGCTTTAAATTTTTCGTATATCTATTGAAAAGCTTCAACGCGAGACTGGTTTTTCACGATGTGTGTATCGAGTACGGCCTTATCGTGGATCTGATGTTTAAAAATTCAATACTCTGCAATTAAACTATTTTTAGTATAACATTTATAAGGTTTAATTATTCTAAACCATTATAAAAATGTTTACGAAATAAATAGCTACATTAAATTATAACTAGTACAGTTTAAAAGAACTTAATGTTTATTAACTACAGGCACAAATTGTTGAAAAGTCTATGGAACTTGAGAGACTTCGTATACAATATGATTCTTTGAAGAAGATCGAAATGGAACAATTAGAAACCATTGAACAGTTAACTGTGAATTAAATAAATAAATACGTCAAAGAATTGTAAATTATAATTTTTGACAAATTGAGGTGCACAAGTAAAAATCCTCGAAAATAATTAGAGCGACATATATTATGAAACAAGATATTTATACATAAATTTATGACGAAGTTTGCAGTTAAGACGGTATTGGGGTTTAAACCCTTCTTAATAAGACGGCGTCGAATGTACATACATATTGTGAAGGTTCTCAACCCCTGAATCAGAAAGGCACATCAGTTAATTCTGAGTGATACTAGGTACTGTTTCTAGTATTCATATGCTATTGATCACCTTGACAATAGTGTTATTTTTTTTCTTTTCGTAAACGTTACGATTACTTTCTTTATATAATTAAAAACAGTTTTTCATACAATTACTGTCTACTAACAGCCGCAATTACATGTGAGCATTGGTAGAAGATGAATAACAATACAAAAACCTAAAGCAATTTTAAAGATACCGCGGTTAATTTATATTAATCGTTTATCTAACAGCTACACTGTTTTGGTGAACAGAAACGTTGCATTTTGTAAACAAACAATCATTGCGGTATTGTAATGCTTATGATATGATGAAATAGTGGTATAATGAAAATCATGTTTGTGAGATAAAAAATATCTTGTGAAGCATTATTTCTATATTTTACTTATTAAAAATGTTCCTTATTTATGTATCATCACCTCGTAAAAAAGAAATCGAACTAGTCATATAGATGAGAAACTATGTAAGCACATAGTGTGGATATAACGATTTCGATAGAAATAAAGTACGTATCTCTTAAAAACAGATAAATAATTTAAATATTTTTTCCCATCTTCCCTTTTTACACAATTCTTATGTTAATTTAGTCTACTTTTCAACACATATTCTATTAATTTTCAATTTTAAAATCATTCGCGTGTTTAATTTTTAATCTAATCGATAATTTTACTAATTATCATCGTCCGTTAAATGATTAACGCGTTTAGATTAATATTAAGTTACAAAACATTTCCAATGCTGTATGAGATTTGAAAAGAAATTTAGAGCTTTTTAAAATAGATAGTACCCCATAGTACAGTGCATACTCTTTTTAACAGTATTTTTAGTACAGGATCACAAATTGGTAACGCGTAATACGCAATTATTCTCAATACGCGATACATTTTACACATTTTGAGACTACTCACACACCCATCCATTCAACCACTATACCCAGGGATTCAAAAATAAACTTTATTTCGTAAAAGTAAGAAATGGTATCGTGTTGAATTACAAATATAAATCCTATAGTCTAAATTTATAAATATGTACAATTACATATCTACTATGGATGTCATCTAAAAACTCAAAGAGTATATTTCGTAAATGTTGATGGAGCAAATGGGATGATGTCTAATCGATATAATCGAAAGTTTAAAACAGAATCTAGTTTTTATGTAACCGTTACTGTATCTTATATTATTCGTAAAATCTTACAAGGCTTTGATTTAATAAATGATTTTAGACTGATATTACTTACGTTTGCCACCTACCTTTTATCATTACCATAGAAAGTACTTATAAAGAGAAACATCTATTATTTTGTTAATTATACAGAATGATGTTTGAATACCTTACATATTTTGTACACATTGTTATCAAAATGTTAGACCGCACCGATGCACTACTCATTAATAACAAATGCAATGAAATAATTTTGAAAATCATTGATCTTCGAGTCAAAAATACAAGAATAATGTTGACTCTCACTCAAAGGAAAGATTCATTTATGTTAAAGTAGACTTATAGTACCATGGTGTAAGCAGCAAAATATCATCCTCATGTGCTCCAACTCATCAGTCTGCCACAAATAGCCAGCACTAACATACTTTACATGTTATCTGAAGTAACTGTATTGATCGCCATCGAGTATCCGTTCAAAATTCACAGTTCTATAGAATTACAGCATTTTACATAAATTCACATTCATTCATCTGTCCCCAAAGATCAGTTCATAACATTTTAACACGTATCTCACATAGTCGCTTCGGTTTTAGGACGTTTGCAAGGTAGCGTCGCGTTTTCTTGTGTAACACAGTCATTATTCTCTTCTGTGGGTACAGATGGCGACAATGCCCTTTTAACAGTACATACTTCGGCAGTAGTATTGTTTGTTACGGTATCTGTTTGTTTTATAAATCGGACTATTACAGCTGTCATATTGTCGCATCCTGTACCATCTCCACGGGTATTAGGTGCAAGACAATGATCGAATAACTGTAATAAATGTGATATTTTTTATTAATAATTGTTGTAGGTTTCAAATTAAGACGAAATATGTCACAGAGTTAGACTAATTTCTATTTAAATAACAAATAAAACTTTATCCAGATAAAGATTTATTTGAAATTATTCGAATAACGTCCAACTGTGATAGAAAGTAGTCGGTTGTTACGCACTTCTTCGCAGATCTTCGAAAGATTATTGTAATTGTTCGTCAAGCGATCTGAAATAAATTCTATAACATCTTGACTTGACATAAAGTTCCAAATGCCATCACAAGCAAGCACTATAAATTCATCTTTGCCTGGTTCAATCGTAATATGCCTCACATCTGGAAGTGAAGAGATAATTTGCTCTTCTAACGGTAAATTAACGTTTTGTTTATAAGCATGGTCCCCGATCGCCCTTGATAAATTAAGGCCGCCATTTATTCTACCGCCGGCCGATATTTTTCCGCCAGCTTTTATTATACGTTTTTTTTCTGGTTCATCCTCAGGTTTGTGATCTAAACTAAGATCAACTGCTTCGCCATTACTACACAAAACACAACGAGAGTCTCCGACATTTGCTACATATAATTCATTGCCCTTCATTATTGCAACTACTGCAGTGCATCCACTATCATAACCTGGCTGTAGAAATGAACGATTGGTATTAATTCATTCTTAAAAATGTTCAATTAAACGATTTTGATAGCTTTTTATCAATACAATAAGTCCTCGATTTACGCGGTTTATTCCCGGTTAAAAATATTGTAGTATCATAGTTAAAGTGAATGCGAATAATGTCTAGTAATTATGATTATGAGGATCATCATCCAATTGATAAAACTTCAAGTTACAAAGGTGAACTTGGATTTTCAGAGGTAGAGCTTCTTTGAACATGAAAAAAGGCAAACTTTATTTCGTATGTGAATACATAGGTATATAAAAATATGTGCAAGAACATAGGTACTGTAGTCCGTCGACTTGAAGTCTCGTGGCAGGAATGCGAGAAAAGTAGAAGGGATTGCCACGTACACATTGAACTCTAGTTCGCTATTCGTCGCGGCAGTTACGCACACATGTGGACTGCCTGAGAGCAAGGGAGCGAGATAGATAAATGGGCGGTCCGACTCCTCTTGCCCATGTGCCGTCCCGCGGGACTTCAAGTCAGCGGAGCACAGTAGGAGTACAACTGCTTATCTATGAATCTGTGTAACTCAAGGACTCGCTGTATCGTATAATATACATAGTAAGCAAATTATCGTACCTCTGGCGGTTTCAACAGAGCACTATCATTGTCGTCGTTATAGTCATCAATGTTGTCATCTCCATCCTCGTCTTCTTCATCCCTATCTTCGTCTTCTTCATCTTCATCCTCATCGCTTTCATCTTCGTCAACATCTTCGGTATCGTCTTCGTCGCTGAAGCTATGCAATAAAAATATGATATAAATTGTACGTCAATGGTTATAACTTTGTATATGGAGAGCATGTTTGCTTTGTCCAAGATACCTACTTTTCTGGAACTCCATCAAATGTTTCGTCATTTTCATCGTCGTCATCATCTTCCTCAGAATCTTCAGTGTCTTTCTTTAAAAGTGTGTGATATAAAGTAATAGGCTGAATTCTTCTTCTACCGGTGCTGCTTATTCGTTCTTGCTGCCCTGCGTCCCCATTTTCTACAGGAGTACACGAACTACTTGATACATTGTCACCTCCACTCTTACTGCTGTCCGCATCTCCGATTCGTTTTGACTCTGCGCCATTTACTTCTACTTCATTTGCATTTGATTCTGCACATATAATTTTGCCAGGACTCGAGACCTTTTTGTCTACATCTTCTGAACTATCGGGCATATCTGCACTTTTTGTTGGTTCATTTCCATTACTGGTTGTCGAATCGAGGACCTGCTCAGCTTCATTGCTTCCAGGACATTCAGATTCTTTTCTTTCCATTGTGCTAGATAATGCAGATACACATGGTTGGCTGGAACTACTCACATCTGTCTCGTTTGTATTCCATGATGATGAAGATGATGACGATGAACACCCTGCACCAGACGATGAAAGTAAGAAAGGACTCGCGGAACAGTCTGGTTTATTGCATGTTTCGTTTTTCAGATTTGCTCCAATAGTATTTGATTCCGATTGGTACTTTGCCATTACTTCTTCCAATGGCATTGTTGCCTCCATACTTAGATTATTAACATTCTCTTCTTCATCTAGATTATTAATATTCTCTTCTTCATCTAGATGCAACGTAATGTACGAAGATGATGTTATTAAATATGTATTTGTACAAAAATATAAGCAGACAAAGTAATAATTACAAAGCATAATTACTGGTATAATTTATGGAAACATAATACATAAGCAAACATATTTTGAGTAGAAAAATGAACGCACCAGAAGATTCACTTATCAACTCATGTTGATCATTTTCTGCAAGTTTTCTAAGAATATAAAGTACTTGAATTTTCACAAGCGTGGCATCAAAGCCTAGAAAGGCATCGATTAGAGCTTGCCTAATATCCCCTCTCTTGTATGCATCAGTTTGTTTTATAAAATCGGGGAGTTTACGTGCGCAATAAGTTGCCACTTCGTGTCCACCATGGCCATCGTACACAGCAAATAAGGAAACATTTTCATCAAAATCTATGCAACAATTGTGTGCATCCTATAAACAAATAATTACATTTCGGATGTATGTTATAATGTAACTTAAGTACATCCTAATTTACTTGAATGTTATGACTTGTGCATTTGCTCATTTACATATACATCATGCAATTAAAACTTATTGCAAATTAATGTTACAAATAAAATGAAAGCTTTCAAATATACTGTATAAATAAGGTTATCATAGATTTTGATATCACAGGCGAATTAATGGCTTTGTACTTAATATTATCGGAGAATATAACAAAAACTTGTAGCAATTAAAATTTCGTAAATGATATTTTTTATTCGTCACAGTTTTATTATTTAAAACGTAACTGTTACAAGAGGAATCTGGATCAGTTAATCGAATAGTCCACTTCGGGTGAAACAATTTTGACAGTTGCATTACTCACCTATTTGTATGCCGTGCAATAGAAAAATAACATCGCAAAGTATAAAATACATGTATCAAACATTAGGAGACAGTTGCATGGTTTGTATAGAACATAAAAATCTTAACGGATCACGATAACTTTAGCACTAAAATGAACATCAAAGCGTCGCAATAAATATTATTAATTTTGCAACGGCGTCGTTTATGGGTTTCTTTACACGCAAAACGTTGAGATTCCCGTTACATTCGGCACAGTATTTTCCGTATCGTACGGTCGAATAGACCGAATTTCGCGCTTCGAAACATAGGTGGATTACGTTTCCCATGGATCAGGATGGATGTCGTAATACCCTGACGAAACGGTGAACCGGCAAACCGTTCTCTGACCGAAACGAAACTGGGTAACGGTGCACTGGCCGCTCGAGGGTTTTAGCTTACCTCTTGCCTAAATCGCCAGCCTTGCATGGAACTCGCGCCGAATGCGACATTCTTCCCTACTTCGTCGCTCGACACTTTCTTCGTAATCGGCTTTGTCAAGTATGCACCCATTTTCGTTTAAACTGGCGATCTTTTTGTCGATTTTCTGGCGTCCGCGTAATATCACAATATCTCGATGAAATTACTATTCGCAAGCGCGGCGCACAGTCGTTAACTAGCCTCTATGACCGGTTTGGGTTTCTGTTTTCACTGCGCTACTGGCGCCATCTGGGCCGCCGCTTTTCTTACATGCGCACTGCATTTTCGCGCCAAACTTTCGATGATTTTTCATTTCTATGGAGCAGCGACGAGTAACCTATCTCCTGCTGCGTGCCAAAATTGAAAACCGTGGCTCCACGCGTGTCGCAACGTAGATGCAATATTATATACTTAATATTAATGAATAAAGTGAATTCAGAGAGCGGTATTAGTTATTTTCGGCGTGTAATCAATGAAACTTTTTTTAATTTAATTTACTTTTTTGTGTATATACAGTGGCAAACATATACTAACGTACATTTCTTAGATTCTCTTCTCTACTACTCTTTCCCTAGACTGATACCGTGTAGGAAAGGTATAAATTTCCATTGTGATTTTTTAGTGGCATATATTTATATAAGATGCAGAGCAACTTTTGGTCAACCTAAACTGCAAACAAGATAGCAACGATTGTAAGCTTTTTTATGTTTTGTCTTGTAGATATATATTTACGAACATTTTCGATATAGTAACAGTAGTTTTAACAATAATCTACAATATTCAATTTAATTTAGTATTTTCCTCTTCGCTCTTTCCTTTCTCTATTTACTTCTTTTTCCATTTTCATGTACTGCTACGTATCATGAACATTTTTATAATTACGTTTTTAAGAGTAGACAATTTAATTATTAATGCATTTATTATTTTTTTACATTATAACCTTTTTTTTTAGACTGAAGATTAATGACTCGAATTCATAGATGGCAGCAGTATGAATATTTTATTTCGTCAGTTTAGAAGTGTTTGAACCTTGATCTTTATATCGTTTGAAAGTTGCATTAATGTTTTACCTTTCGATTTATCTGATTGTTAAAATGATATTCGTTCAAAGTTAATATTTGCTCGAGGTAGAGCATACAGTGGTGGATGAATACTTTTCTTGGATACTGTACATATGTATTGTATATTATTCGAAGTAGCGATTATGTCTAAGTACGTTCCAACTATTATGAATGCAAATGATAATGGTTCACATTCACCGCTATTGCATACGATCTAGAATAACCTCGTTCCTGAATACCCGGATATCTGCTTTTGAACGGATTTTCTTTTAGTAAATCTGTCACGTCCCGCGCGTTTCGTATACAGGAGCTCTTTCAAGTTTTTTGGCTCATCTTATTCCGAAAGAAAGGTTACAAAACCAACAACGATTTGTATTTTACAACGAACCTACAAGATAATTAATCCACGCTGCTCGAAACAAGTAAAAGATTACTTTATTACAATCAAGTTGATCCGTATTCTAAAAATTATGTTTGTTATACAATTTCTAGAAGGGTATTAAATTTAAATAAATATGTTTATAATACTTCTTTCGAGATTTTCAGGTTAGTTTCGGCATTATATTAATCAAATTCGCGATTATTCATATAAACAAAACAAAAGGAAAGAGACTTATTCATTCGAGTCTAGTATTTACTTTTACGAGTTAATTTATCTTTTATACAGGGTGTTCATGAATTTACGATATAGGTTATGTACACGTTTGGTATTCGTATTATTTCAAATACATACTAGAGCGAAAATATTATTTCGAATATTCTATTATTCGTGAAAGGTGAAATATACACATGTTCTATGTGTCTTACATCCATTTGAATGCAAAACTCGGCACGTTCCTTCATCAAGGCTCGCGCAGGCTCAGAAAGCATCAAGTTTTCCTTTATTTCTCGACAATTAGCCTAAATTCATTGTTTCAATCCGTGTAAAGTATGAAACGAGGTCGAGCATACCACACTTTTTGATTGTTAAAAGACGTAAAGGGAAAGTCTTATAATTTGGACATAGTTACTCTTCGGATCTATGGTTTACTAATACTTTTTAAGCAATTATTACATAAACAATTTTAGTTTCGATTTATACTTATAAATAACGAATTATATTATTATCTGTTCTTAGATATATTGCTGTATGTTCGAAGACGATCTTAAAACGGAGAATGGAAAAATAAAATAAAATTTTATATAATAATTTTAATGAGACATTTTAAAGACCAAAATAAGACGAAAATCAAGAATAGCAATTTGTTGATCGAGGCTTCGTTAAAAAGTTATTAACGTTTAAAGCTCCGCCTGTAGACCATAGATTGTTCCACGCAGCTGTTCGCAGATTGTCGTTCTACAGGCGGAACTTTAAACGTTAATAACTTTTTAACGAAGCCTCGATCAACAAATTGCTATTCTTGATTTTCGTCTTATTTTGCCCCCCAGAATCTCCCATTAAAATTTTTCCCAAGGGCGGCCGAACACCCTGTATATACCCTAATTTTAGCTATTAAAAAAATTTATTTTATGGCCCCTCTAACCGGGACCGATTACCCAACGTGTGTTTTATTTAGAGACGTTTCAGTTAAAAAACCATAAAATCACAAAGGCTGTCATCAAGGTCAGTAACAACTATATTCCAACATTTACAATTTTACAAGGTTACACGTTACAATTTATTTTTGTTCCAGGAATCCCAAATATGGTTTCCCGGTCGTTGGACTCTTCTGGTTTTATTTTGTCGTGTTGTTCGGCGTACCCGCTGCAATACTCGGTCGACCGTAGATTCTGAAGGAAACAAGATTGATGGACGGTGGAGGGGATGATTGTTGCATCATTATTGAAGTTGGATGTACCGAAAGCTCTCTGTCTGCTTTAATGACATGCGATCTGTAGCGCACGGGTTCCGTACGAACCGGGGAATGGTGCACCGGTCGTCGAGGTCGGGGTGGTCGGTGAGGATGGGTTTGTGTGTTGCGTGATGGTCGCCGTTTATCGATTCGCGCCGCGCCGTGAGGAATGAAGTCGCGGCTAGCTGCTCTATGCCGTGGCGTATCGCACATCCCTGTACCTCCTACACTCGACGTGAACGCGCCTACGCAATTTGCGTGGCAAGGAACGAAAGCAGGTAACGATAGATTGCCACGCAAGTTTGCGTTACGCGATCCTCTGCGCGCGATGTCTGCCGATGCCTGTCACGGTCTACGACCGTAATTGAATCACGCGTTCCTTTCGCTTACCCGACTGTTACAACGACGGGGGAGGGGGTGGTGGAAGATCTTTCCAACAAGAGCGATAAAACTTTCAATTGTCATTCAATTATTTGCGTTGACCGGTATCAGTATTTTGTCGATGTCGAATATCCTCTTATTATACAAGGTGCTCAGTCAGCCCTGGGAAAAATCTTAATGGCGGATTCTAGAGGCCAAAATAAGACCAAAATCAAGAACACCAATTTGTTGATGGAGGCTTCGTTAAAAAGTTATTAACAACTAAATTCAAAAATTTCAAATCGTTCTGGAAAAATTATTTTCGGTTGCGGGGGGCAATTACAATCATTTTTGGTGAATAGATATACCCTCGAAATCCTACCCACTTTCGAGAAAAAAATTCGACTAGGTACTGAAATTTTGAGACGAAATTAGAAAATTTTAAATCATACTAAAAAAATTATATTTAGTTACAGGGGACAATTACAATCATTTTTGGTCATTACACATATCGCCGAAATCCTACGCATTTTCAAGGAAAAAATTTGAGAAGATGCTTAAATTTTTCGACGAAAAAGAAAAATTTCAAATCGTTCTGGAAAAATTATGTTCGGTTGCGGGGGTCAATTACAATCATTTTTGGTCATAAGACATACCCTCGAAATCCTACCCACTTTCGAGAAAAAAATTCGAGTAGGTACTGAAATTTTTAGACGAAATTAAAAAATTTCAAATCATACTAAAAAAATTATATTTAGTTACAGGGGTCAATTACAATCATATTTGGTCATTACACATACCCTCGAATTCCTACCCACTTTATAGAAAAAAATTCAGTACGGGCGGAACTTTAAACGTTACTAACTTTTTAACGAAGCCTCCATCAACAAATTGCTATTCTTGATTTTCGCCTTATTTTGGCCCCTAGAATCTCCCATTAAAATTTTTCTTAGGGGTGGTCGAACACCCTGTATATTATAAAGTAATGAATGGTAATTCATTGTTTCAATCAGTATCTGTTAATGAAAAAAGATCGCGTGCACGGTTATGAGCTGAATGGAAGCAGAATTTGTCGCGCGTTAAATTAATCGAAATATCCACGTGCGTATAAAACGTGTATATTTACAGAATTCAGCGAAAAGGAATCGCGTAATACGATAGGGTCGTATCCCTCTTACGGTTGACATTTGATGAAAGTTACTCCGGTGGAAAGTTGAACTGTTTAATAGCATCCAACTTCTTGCAAGTTTATTTTTTTTCCGCGAGCGATTCGCCGACAAAGCCACGCGATTTTCTTTTCAATGTAAATTAATTCCACTCGTTTGGAAAGAAAGCTTCAAGAAGGAGAATTAACATTTTTGATAAATTAACTTCGTACCGATGAAAAAGAATATTATACGTAAAAAGTAGAATTGAAATTTTCAGCCCCCGGAGAAATTCAATTTTTGATTACTTTCAGTTACTGTCTGAGTTATCCTCGACGTCAGTTTGAAGAATGTGGGTCTGAGAAAAAGACGTTTCACACATTAGTAACTTCGTTATTTTTTCTGCGATGCATGAAATATTTATAACTCGATTTATGCGGTATTCGACTCACGGGGAAAGCTGTATAATAAATTAATCGCGCTAGTCGAGGACCGTTGTTCCGAAGTAAAATTAGCTCTCCCGTCCGAGAATAATTGTAAGAGGAGACTCGAATGAATGGATTTCGTTCGTTCGAACAGGAACGTCCGTGTTTTGTTGTCGTCGAAACGCGATCGAAGTATGCAATCGCCGGGGCCAAAGGCTTATGAATTTAATTTCTATTCAGATATGGAAAAATATTCGACATCTATACGTATTCCTCGACTTGCACGGCAGTTCTTCAATCTGCTGAATTTTACACTAGATTTACGGAACCCATCAATCTAATGAGCGTCAGATTCCATATTTAAAGCCACAGAACTCGTAAATATTAT